GTAAGATCCTGAGATCCCGAACCCATATATCTCCTCACTCCATGTATGAAAGATTGCTTCTTTCCTGAAATAATTTGAGACGTACACATTGGGAGATATGCCACAATCACCGGCAGCAGCAAGAACGTATGAGCAAGGAAGGTGATGAAGCTTCGGCTTCATACAACTGCAGGTACATCCACCATCCGCCTTCAAGACACATTCCTGCACGGCTTGCTTGCGATAGATACCACGCCTGCTCCTATCAACACACATTATTTCATACCGATGCACTTGTGTGCCTTGAGCAACAACTCGATGTCTCCGTGCCTTTTTGATTTTATCTTCCATGTACTTTGTCACTACGTTGCCAAACACTATGTTGTTATCGGCCATGGACGGACGAATTTTCTTGTATCGATCCCTAAAGTACGCTTGCGTGCCGTGAATGATGAATTCAACAATAGCAACCAATGGAAGTACCCGAACTCCTCGCATTACCCAGTTGTACACCTCTGCCAAATTGGTTGTCATTATGCCATACCGAGATCCATCGGTGTCGAACAATAGAGACCACTTCTCCTTAGGCTCATTCTCAATCCACTGAGTGAAATTTCTGATGGACGACCCTGACCTCCTTCTCATTGTTGGTGGGTCATCATGTAATGCACCAAGAGGTATGGGAGGCTCGTCACCTTCAACTAGTGATCTGCGAGATTGCTCATCTGTTTGCTTCGTTGTCAACTCATCCAACTTGTCCCACAACTCATTAAATTTCTTCTCTTGGTTCTGTGCACAGAGCCTCTTAAAGAGCTCCATAAGATGTTTGTTCTTGAATTGCTTGTAGAAATTTGCACCCATGTGACGCATGCACCACCGACTCCGAACATCAGGCCACTTAGCTGGAAGTCCCTTCTCATCCCAACCGTTCTGCAAGTAGTCAATAGCCCGCAACATACCCGCATGACGATCATGTATAAGGCAAACGTTGGGCCTCATACGCACCACTGCAATGTGCACTCTCTCTAGGAACCAGTACCAGCTTTCAGTGTTCTCACTCTCTACAAATGCAAAAGCCATAGGTAGAACCTGGTTGTTCCCATCACACCCAATTGCTGTCAATATCTGACCTCGGTATTTACCTGTCATAAAAGTTCCATCTATGCATAGAACAGGTCGACAATGCACAAAAGCATTGATGCAAGCACCCAATGAGAAAAAGGCTCTTTGCAGCACACTCTTTGTTCGATCATCAACCGATGTAAATGTATGTAGGTCATAGTACGTATTATTATTCCTCTGGGCAATGGTGGCTAACAAACGAGGCAAATTATCATAAGAAGCTTCAAATGTGCCATACCTCATCTCAATGATATTTTGTTTGGCTCTCCAGGCCTTTGCATAGCTTATGGTGTACTTGAATTTGTTCTCGATGTGCCTAATAATTGATTTTGGTTCAAAGCCAATGTTACCAACAACACTGCTGTACATCTCACTTGCCACAAAAGCTGAAGTGATGTTTCGGTGATACTTCTCCACCCCTTGTAAGTAGCACTTGTGCTCGGTCACAATGCTAACTTTCCAATAATCATTCCATTTACCCTTATATGCATGGACACGCCACGGACAATCTTCCTTCATGCACCTCACTTCATACACATAATTTGTTGACTTGACCACCCTAAACTCTCTCTGCAAGGAAACTGCCCAATGCTTCACCGCCTCCTTCATCTCATCCTTATGAGCATACCTTGCACCCTCAATTACCTCGTTCTCCTTATACTCCCAGGGTACATGATCACCCTCTGATATAACAAGTCCAGAGAAGTCCTCATTTGCCCAATCAGTGGCCATTACATCACCTTCCTCATCGGATGATGCGTCGTCATCCACTTCCTCATTATCCGAATCTTCCCTCTCCATTTCATCAACAATTATACCGACTCTCTCCCCCTCATCCGCCATGCCCATAGCCTGCTCCTCCCTTGGTTGATTTTCCTCATTTTGCATCGATGGTCCAACAACATCCCCTGCATTGATAGGACCCTCTACATCTTCGGTTTGCATTGAAACATTTATATCTTTCTCTTGTACCGACACAAATATAACGAGGGGCCATGACCGTTCAAAAGCCATTTCCACATACCGTCTCCAAGCATCAGTGCTGTCCATCGGCATTAGTTCCCAAAAATAACCTTCTGTTGCACGACTCACTACAACTGACACTGACATTGTGTAGACTTCTTGGTCTATTCTAAATCCTCTCAACAACCAACTATAAATTGACTGAAATGTTCTCTCCGCAGGCCTATCGATGCCCTTAGATGTCATTACAAAATCTGACAGATCAACACCATCTGGATCAAATCTAATATTTCCTTCACCGTGAACTATCTGAAATGTGACCTTACTTGACATTGTGCCTGATGAAAACAATAACTGCGTTAACCTCGCATTTCTGTACTACGCCCTAAGTTACATTCTCTACAATATTGTTCTCTAAATTTCTAAAATTACGTTACATTCTCCAGATCAAACTAAACTACATCTTATAATTAACACTACTGTCTATGTCTCAATTCATACTATTATATTCTATGCTCTGGATCTACACATATGTGCTGTGTGTTACAGATGTGCTAAAATATATGGAACTAAAACTAAAACGCAACATATATACTCAAACATAACATATTAGTACAAATGCAAAAGATGTATGGGAGCATACCCGTGATGAATTGAGCGAACCAGCAGGGCTTCGCCGCTCCCCTTCTGCTGCCCTCCCCTCTCTCTCTTTCGTTTTTTTTGATTTTTAGTGAATATAATGAAATTTCACAGAGGAGGGACTGGGCTTTATAGGGGGAGAGGCAAAAATCGCCCTCGCGGAGGGCGGCAAGGGGGCCGCCTGCAAAATTCCATGCCCCCTCGCCGCCCATTTGCAGGCGGCCCCCCCCACAGTACAAAATCGCCCAAGCGGAGGGCGGCAAGGGGGCCGCCTGCAAAATTCCATGCCCCCCCTCGCCGCCCATTTGCAGGCGGCCCCCCGCACAGTATAAAATCGCCCTAGCGGAGGGCGGCAAGGGGGCCGCCTGCAAATTTCGTTGACGGCCGTCGCCCGAGAGCGAACGGCCGTCTGCCACGTCATTTTCGCCGCCCTCTGAGAGGGCGATTTTTCCCAGAGGGCGGTAGGCGACTACTTCCGTCAATTTTCAAAATGGAAAATTATTTTTGTAAAACTTTTAATAAAAAAAATTATAAATAAAAAAATTCATCTCATGTTGGTAGGCTTAATGGGCTGGTTGTGCTGCTTAGGCCCAATGGTCATTTGCAACAGATCAAATTCTGAAAAGAGTAAAAAAAGAAGGAAAACAAGTTATTTTACATATAAAACTTTGTAACAGTTAGTAAAATTTTAAAAGTTAATAAAAAAAACTGTTGTTCTTTTGCAAATACTTTTTTTAACTAATAACAATATCATACAACAAACATATTGTTTCCTGCCAATACCTTATCTAAAGACATAATCCGTCTTTCTTGTATGCCTTCCTCATCACCTAATAAGTAATAACCCCCCCCCCCCCCACCCCCATCACCGAACTAGCCCTCATACTGCATGTCCGTTGTAAGTCCACACCTCACACTATCACGTCACCACAATCGTTGTAAGTTCGCAACTCACGCCACCACAATGTCAAGATATGTCAATGGTGATCTAATCGGATATGCTGGCACAATATCTCGGAGGTGTGTATATGGATAATACTGGATAAAGTACATGTGCACGCGTGTGTATGTGTGAGCGTCCGCGTTTAATCTGAAATCATGTCAAACGGTACCTAAATTTTTAGACCCTTTGTTTCTTGGGCAAGGGAAACATAAGTAGAGGGCCCCTTAGAATCGTAGGAATGAAAAAACAGAGGAATATGAAAAACATATGATTTTGACAAGAATATAAGCGTAAAACAGAGAATTGTAAAACACAAAAAAAACATAGGAATGATCGTTTGATTGGACCAAAAGAAAAACACAGGAATCGGATGAGAGAGATAGACTCAAAAGGATTCTTAGGGCCCCTTTGAATCAAAGGAATTATGAAGGAATTTCATAGGATTGAAATCCTATACGAAATTTTCCTATGTAGCCCTTTGATTCAAAGGATTGAACTTTTCCTATTCCTATAAAATTCCTATGGAATGGTTTATTGCATATAGGTTTTGGAGGAAATTTAGCAAGAGGTCTAACCTCTTGGTAAAAATCCTTTGAGTCTATCTCTCTCATCCGATTCCTGTGTTTTTTCTGTGGTCCAATCAAATGATCATTCCTATGTTTTTTCTGTGTTTCGCAATCCTCTGTTTTACACTTACATTCCTGCCAGAATCCTATGTTTTTCCTATTCCTCCGTTTTTTCATTCCTACGATTTGGGCCCCTTTAATTCAAAGGAAATTCATAGGAATTTTATTCCTGTAGGAATTTTTCCTACAAAGCCCTTTGAATCAAAGGAATGAACCCTATGGAATCCTATAAAATTCCTATGAGATGCCTGATCTTCCTATATAAGTTTTGGAGGAATTTTAACAAGAGGTAGAACCTCATAGAAGAGTCTTTATCTCTCCTCAAATTCCTGTGTTTTTCCTGTGGTCCAATCAAACGGTCATTCCTATGCTTTTCCTGTGTTTTGCAATCCTCTGTTTTACACTTGCATTCCTGTCAGAATCCTATGTTTTTCCTATTCCTCCGTTTTTTCATTTCTGTGATTCAAGGAGGCCCTTACCAAGAGGTTGGACCTCCGGCTAAGTTTCCTCCAAAACCTATATGCAATAAGCCATTCCATAGGAATTTTGTAAGATTTGGAAAACTTCAATCCTTTAAATCAAAGGACTACGTTGGAAAATTTCCTACAGGATTTCAATTCTATGAAATTCCTTCATAATTCTTTTGATTTAAAGGGCCCTCTAGTATTTACTTTAGGGTTTGTTACCTAATTCCATGAGTCGTACATACGTACATCCTACGGGTTCCGTATAAACGTACGTACGTGTCATGCACACGTACGCACCGTGAAGCTGAGGGAGGCCGGTGTTACATACGGCGCCTTATACCCAATTATTGTTAATTACTAGTACTAGCTTTTATTTTTTTTCACACAGAAAGGAAAAAAGAAAAGGCAGATATATAGCTGGAGTAATTAGCTAGGGCAATGGAAGACGGGTTCCTCTGCTTCGGCGCCGCCATGATGGTGTCGTACTGCGCCGCCTGGCTCGTCGACCTCGCGCTCATCGGCTCCCAGGCGGCCGCCGACGAGGAGGCCGCGAGGTTCATGGACGACGTCGCCGGCGAGCTCCGCCGCCGCGGCGGCGTCGGGGAGGACGAGGACGAGGGCGAGGTCGAGATGGCCATCGCCAAGCAGATGGCCATCCTCAACCAGGTCTTGGACTGATCATGTAAGGTACGTAGCCACTGCACCCCCTATCGAGTTTAGATCGATCGAGGATTGATTAAGCGAGATAATATACCAACTTTTTCTTCGATCAAGTTTGATCCTCTTTTTCCGTTTTATCGTATTATATTTCGTTTCGACTATTTTACCAATCAAACTTTGTTAGGTTTTATTGCCTTTTCTCCTATAATCTCAAACTTTGTTAAGTATGATCAAGTTTATAAAAAAATAATAACATCTAAATACTAAATTAGTCTTATTAATATGATATTGAATATATTTTATATTTTTCTACAAGCTTCTTTAAACTTAAAAGAAATTCGATTAGAAAAATATCAAAACTATTTATACTAGTATAAAACAGAAGGAGCACATATATATCCTTTAGTAATTTCTTCTTTTAATTTACTCCCTGACATGATGTTTTATTCTCTTCGGTTAATTTGATTGTGTCACAGCTCGGTGTATACGACGCCTACACACATGCTAAAAAGGACTACTACGTGAGATTCGAAGACCATCAATCCTTTACTTTTCCACTCGAAGTTGTTCAGTTCAATACAGATTCATCGTTTTTGATTATTAGTTCAGTTAAATTGTTTAGCTTTGGATTGCTCCAAAAAAAAAGACCATCTCGTGTGTAAACTTAGTTTTTCATTCATTTCATATGAATATTACCCGGTTGGGTTCATGAAGTTTTACTGTGACAATGGTACAGAGTATAGTCTGAACCTGCATCCTTACGGTGTTCACTGCATCGAAATTAAAAATTAATAAATTAAAGCCACAATATTTATTCCATCATCCATGGCTCTGTTTAAAACTTCATTTAGTTTTTGCAACTCCCTCGTTTATTGTGCTTCCTAAACTATGAACGTGCGTCTAAAGAAAGTAACTTTTCAAGTTGACGAACTTAAAATATCTCAAGATATATATAGCTCTCTCGTTATGTTAAGATTGACGAAGTCAACATCGAAAAAAATTAGCCGTGCATAAATGTACCCATACCAACCTAAATCTATGACTTGAAACATTCAACTCGCGGGCTTGAAGATCCTGCAGGTGACGGGAGTCCCAGTGAGAGCGAAACAACGGTGTGTGTGCATGATATTAGTGCCCCAGTATTTGTACAGCTAAAATCAGATGAAGCCAAGGGCAGGATTAGTGTAATTTACACAAGTTTATTTTTTTATCTCTTTTTTTTTTGAAATTTCAAAGTGTAATTTCAATCGGTATTTAGGCTGGGGAGTAGAGCTCCAATCCCTACTCTCTGTCTTTGCCCCCAGATTCCACACCATACGTATACATTTTGTGCTTTCCCAATCACCTCTATAAGTTGTATTTGAGAGATATAATTAAGAAATCATACTTTGTAATTAGGTCGTCATTGCTCCCTCCACCCATTCTGTTCAAATTACTCTAACAGAGTCAAGCTTTTTTTTTTTAGAACTAACAGAAGCAAGCTAGCACTTGTATGTCTGACCCGTCATTTTTTAGAGGGGAGTGTTGGGAACTCCTCCAAACGAACTCAGCCTAAGTCACTTTGATAAAGTTTATAGAAAAATATACGAGCATTTCCAACACAAAATAATTATATTATTAAAATATATATATTCGATGCCTCTTTTAACACGAGACGCCCCGTAAGTCGGGAAAATTACTAACGGATAATACGGTACGGCCGCATTATATACGTGTGTGCGACGAAGAGGTTAGTTAATTATAGCTTAGCGTCGTAACTCGTAACTAATTAACACAGATCGATTAGCTCTACCAATTAACTAATTAATGGCGAATTGCAGGGCGGCGGCCCCGGCGGCGGCGCCGGCGCTGGAGAAGGTGGTGATCGCGGTCGCCGCCGGCGGGGTCCTGCTGTACCACCTGGCGAGGCTGGGCGCCCTCGTGGCGCGGGGCCACCGCGAGGAGAAGAGGCGGGCGGCGCGCCGGAGGGAGCAGTACGTCGCCGAGGCGAGGGCGGCGCGGCTCGAGGGCCTCAAGCGGGAGATCCGCGGCAAGGCGGTCGACTGGTGGTCGGCGCACAAGAAGGCCGCCGCCGCCGCCGCAGACTGGAGCTAATTAATTAAGCTCGCCAAGATCGAGTAGTAGGATTGATATGATCCATCATGCGCATTATTACAGATCTTTGTTCTAGTTATTAATTAATTTGATTTGAATTTCCGTTGGATTTCGTAGGCGGCTGTGATGCAATTTGTTGGCTTGGAAACTTTGAAGAGATTTACTTCACGCATTTGCATCACCAATATATCGATCACTTTGATGTTTTCAGTTAATGGCCACAAGCGTTGCTTCCGAAATTTTTATTTTTTCGACCTCTTAAATTTGCGATTTGCATTTGTTTTCTTTTTTTTTCCTTAGAGGTTTATTTCTTATTAATTAGGTCTAGCAAATTCGTAGAAAAATACTTTGTGGGCTTATGTGGCTATAGTATACTTAGAAAGAACTGTGTAAGTGATACGCATGTTGTGCTGTTTGTGCATTCACTTAGACGTGGAACAGAATCTCCAATGTGGTACTGTGGAGATACTTGCCGCCTTACCACATTGTTTATGACTTTTAGTAGCAAGAGGGGTATTGGCCCTGTATTGCCGCCTTACCACAATTTTTTTTTAGGGATGGGTGAGCGAAGGCTAGGATTGCATGCCAACTCATCATTTGGGGTTTTTTTTCATGTCTAGTTTTGAAGGCTCATTCTATGCCTTCTCAACCCGTAGATATCTTGTAGAAAACTCATCATTTCTGATAATGGAATTGGAGGGCTGAGTCTCTAAGGCAAGAGAGGGAGGAGAGATATGTCTCATATATTGTGCATAGATCTAAAAACAATCATTTTGCAAAGTGAGCTTTACTTAATTGGCGAAAAAAATCTAAGGCAGGAGAGATATGTCTTATATGCTGTGACAGATAAAAAACGATCATTTTGCAAAGTGAGTGTAACTTAACTGGTTAGTTTCTTGTTGTGAAACCAATCCATTTGAACCCTGGTGCTTGCTTTTACGGGCATACAGCTAATTATTCTTTCAGTCGTAGGTAACATACAAATACAAATATGCTCATAGCGGGTATGGTATGGTGTGTATTCATATAGGTGAATGTGCGCATGTTGTAAAGGTTTGTGTTTATACTATATTTCTAAAGAAAACTATCATTTTGTTAACTTTGTAAGAAAACCATGTGAGATATATGCATATCAATTAAACGGACAATTTTCGTAGTGGTTTCCATGCTAACTAACCATAGATATCTATCTTAAGTACTAATATTTAAAAATCAATAAGTCTAATCCGAGGAAAACCAATAGTGCGGTGATGGAGTCGTAGGTACGTGACTCCACCCATCAGGGTTTAAATTTTGGTGCCTACGTATAAGAATTTTAGTGAGATCAAGAATGTACGTATATGTCTCTTAGAAGATGTGTTAGGGGACTATCTTTTTCGCGAACGGGCAAAAGGATTACACGTCAATATATTAGAAGAAAAGAGTTATAGTTACACGACGCAATCAGCCAGACCAGCTTATGCAAAGGGAAGGAGAAAATAAAAGCAAAAAAGAAGCTGGAGCTTAAAAAACTACGGTGGCTAAATACAAACTCCAAGCAGCGGGAAGGGGCCGAGCCACTCTACACTCCCAACAAGTCCCCAAAAGCGGCAATGCCAGCTAAAGACCACAGATGGCCCTCTAAGTGGATGGACTCCAGAACCACTAAGACCGAGGAGAGCGCATAGTCGAAAACCCTAGAGTTTTATTCCTTCCACAGCTACCAAGAGACCAGGAACACCAGGGAGTCGAAGCCAGCTCGGAGATGCTCAGGTAAGCAGGCCCTGGAGGAAGACCACCAGTCCTGGAACCAGCTGCCACGGGGGGAGAGAGGGCAGCCCAGCCAGGAGGCGACAGCACATGGAGCCAGACCTGCCGAGCAAACACACATTCGAGGAGGATGTGGTTCGCCATCTCAAAATCCTGAGCGCAAAAAGGGCAGGCTGAGTGACTATCGATGCCACGCTTCTGGAGGAGATCAGCCATCTCGCAGCGCTGCTGGAATGCAAACCAAAGGAAGAACCTGCATTTAGCAGGACCTTTTGCGTGCCAGAGAAGATCACCACAGGCAAAGGAATGCTGGCCATGGAAGAAAGCCTGGTATGCCGAACGCGCTGAGTAGCGCTGGTCAGACATCCAACGCCAAACGAGACGATCCTCGACACCTGGCGAGAGCTGTACATGAAGCACCGCATCCCAAATAAGGAGAAACTAGGAGATGACCGGGACAGTGAGGGCACCACAGATGTCAGAGACCCAGGAGTTGTTCGTCAGACCAGAAGCAACTGTGCGCGAACCTCGGAGATGCTGGGAAACAACGAAGAGGAGATCTGGAGCCAAGGACGCCACCGAGCAGCTGTCGATCCATTGGTCAGACCAGAAGAGCATAGACTCACCATTTTCCCGCACGAAGAAAGTGGATGCCGCGAACATGTCAGAGACGGTCTGCTCGACTTGAGCTTCAGGCCATCCCAGTAGGGGTGCCCTGAGCGCTGAAGCCAGAGCCAGCGAACACGCAGGACCAATCCTGCCAACCCGCCCAACCGTTAGGGGACTCTATCGTATAATTTTTTTATATAAAAAAAAGTCTAATCGTCCGGTTTAAACGTAGATTAGATCACGGAACCACCAAAACAGAAGTCCTTTTTTTCCCCCTTTTGCTAGGAATAACAGAAAGCCCTTTAGTTTAGCCGCCAAACGTGCCCCATCTAGGCATTGCATGACTTCGTGCACGTGATCGAATATATATAGACGAAATCACGAATATATACTTTTGCTCTTTCCACAACCAAAACAAGAGAGAGAGATAAACCCTAGATCGATCGATCGAGCTTGCATTATTAATTGCCGACGACGATCGATCGACGGCGAGCGATGGGGAAGGGGGATAGCCCGAGCAACGAGCTGCTGTGCTTCCTGTGCGCGGCGGCCGGGGTGGTGGCCGGCGTGTCGGCGTACCGGCGGAATCGGCGGCGGAGGGAGGAGGAGGAGCGGCGGCGGGTGGAGGCGGCCGTGGAGGAGATGGAGGGGTGGGAGTTCGAGGCCATGCGCGCCAACTACCTCGCCCTCATGGACGACGCCCTCGCCGCGCTCTCCGCCGCCGCCGCCGGAGCTGAACCGACGGCCAAAACCTAGCTAGCTGCATGCACTGTCGATCGCCATGGATCTCGATCTAGGGAGGTAGGTCGTTGTATACATAATTAATTTCACTCTGATTACCTTTTTTAGAAAAAAATTGTTTACGATCGATATGGGTACGGTCTCTAATTTTGTATACTTCCTCTGTCTCATAATATAAGAGATTTTTTTATGGATGTGACACATCCTAATACGATGAATCTAGACATGATGTATCGCATTCACCCAAAATCTCTTATATTATGGGACAGATGGAGTAATTGATTATTGTTTTTCTAATTAATTGGGTGTTGAACATGATTACCTACATGAATGAAACTATCTTATATTGGAAAAGAAATTCTAGCGATATTATTTTCGTATATAAGCTCTTAATGGTTTTTGCATATTAGTAAGCTAGGTTCGGAACTTGTAGAATTTATGAAGTAATGCGTGCATTGAATAATCTAGAACCACATATATTTATCAACATAGGGGTATATGCTAGTCACATGACTGGTTATACTACTCGTATTCGAATGATCCACTATGCATAATCAATCAAAAAGCCTATATAGACCGTATCTAGAAATACTTTTTCAAATGGTCAATTAAGCATGGCTCCATGTAGTATATATAAAGTGAGGCATCATGAAAACATATGCAGTCGTCCTTAGAGCAAGGTCAATGATATAGTCAATAACTAGCTCTAAAATTTATCCATATCATTAAGAGCTAACTTAGAGTCAATTCATACAAAATGCTAGCTATAAGCTGACTGCAATATAAGACATTGAGACATTTAATATTTGCATGAGCATGGCAACTATGAGATTAATTCTGCCACTCCTCTTTTGGCCATTCCACCATTTTGGTGCAGCAGCACTCGGTCATTGTGCAAAAAGGACATTGATCTACTGATAACATTCGACATAGGTTCTATTGGCAATATATATCTTATAATATGAAACGGAGGAAGTAACATTTAACAAAAAGGACTACTAAAATGAGATTAAACTTCTTGATCTTCACTGACTAGCTGCATACCATGTTGATCACCATCTAGAACATTAGCATCCACCTAAAATATAGTCATGGATAAATATATCATGATGCTCAAACAAAATAATAAAAAGGAAACGATGAAATCATAGATGATGGAAATAAACTCCAGCATGGCTTGTGATCACGGAGAAGCAAACCAAGCTGGCAGTGGGAATCAAGGACCACCATACGGATATAGCGCTTCCGACAACGTAGGAATATCTGGAGGACTAGATGAGCTCGCGATGATACAAGGAGGCGGCGCAAACCTCTCTTCGTCCGGTGAGATATGGCTTTTGGTGGTGGGGAACTAGGTTTGCGGCGGGAATTGGGGAGGGGGCAATTTTAGGGGTGGCGGAACCTTTCGCGCACATTGGGAGGAAAAAGGAAGCGCGCAAAGAAGGGATGGCGCAAGGGCGGAAGAGAAACCGTCGCAGTCGCCGGTGGGGAAATCGGCAGCAAGTGACTCGCTCGATGAAAGTCTATGTAAGGGGATCGAAGAACGGGAGATCGCAGATCACATGGGATTGATTTGTGTGGATCTCACAAACCGTGTCTTTTACAACCTAGGCTATGGGCGGTAGTGCATCAAAAATTGTGTTAACGCCGGTAGTGCATCAAAATTTGTGTTAACGCCCGGCGAAGAATTAGTCGTCCGCTTTCTTCTCTCCCTCCACATAGGAATAAGATGACAGTAATTTTTGGAGCTGATGAGTTAGCCTTATTATATCTGCTCTTAGGGCAACCTAATATATGTTACCTAACTAGGCAATACTACTCCGTCCCAAAAAGAATCCAATCATAGCAATGAATATGGACACGCATGTGTCCAGGTTCGTTGCTAGGATTGGGTTTTTTTTTTTTTTTGGGACGGAGGGGGTAAGTAGCAGGGCTAAGGTAGTAGGTTTTTGTAATGTGGGTCCCATTATAATTTTTTTTACCTTTTTAGGTCACATCAGATGTTTGACTGGATGTTGGAAGGGGTTTTTGGATACGAATGAAAAAACTAATTTTATAACTCGCCTGTAAACCGCGAGACGAATCTTTTGAGCCTAATTAAGCCGTCATTAGCACATGTGGTTACTGTAGCACTTATGGCTAATCATGGACTAATTAGGCTCAAAAGATTCGTCTCACGATTTCCATGTAAACTGTGCAATTAATTTTTTTATCTATATTTAATGCTCCATGCATGTGTCCAAAGATTCGATGTGATGTTTTCGGTGGAAAAATTTTGGGAACTAAACCTGGCCTTAGTTGTTTTTTTATCCAACTCAGCATAAAGTACAAGCAAATCCTAATATTGAAGAGAGAAGACAAAAGAGAGAGAGAGAGAGAGATTTTAATTTTTTTTATTCCTAGGTCATAAACTTACTACCTACTTCCACAATATTGATTACTAGGTCCTAGAAATACTTTAATGTCTATTACTTGTTTTTTCATTGCATTGTGGATGTTTTTATGGACCATGCAGTACGAGGGGGCGGTTTTTTTTCATAATGAAATAAACTCTAATTTTATTTTTATGTGCCAAAACACACTAACCTATCTAGTTACTCTCCCATGTGACAGGCATGCGTGGAGAAATATCGGTGCACAGCTGCATGCTACTCTATCAACATTACATATCAGGAGAATTTGATGTTCTTTTATGAGTTGCTGCTAGACAAATTTAGAAATATGTAGTGCTACAGCTTAATCATATACTAGCTGATGAATTGAATTACTTGGTGATTATTAATCAGTGTCTATTGGACATCCCTTAAATATTTATTCGCTTCCTTAATTTATGTGTTTCTTTTGAGGCTGTGAGCCTGTGAGTGGAAAAAAAGCTTATAATTATTGTACGGGCACAACAATTAATCTGAACATGGATATATATATTCATTGACAAGGGTTCCTTATTTTTAGTCTTACGCATGCGTCTAGTATTCAACATCATATCATTATAATACACACAACATATATGTGAATATCAATATGTATAATTTTTTTTATAGGCGGAGTTATGACAATACTACCGCGATAATGATGCCTGATACATGTCACTACCGCAATAGATTTTTTTTTTTTACATACGGCTTTGTCTTCACCTATGGAAATAACTATTTGCACAATCGTTTTCATAGAGGACCTATCTGCCTCTAAAAATGTATTTCACCTGTCTGGAAAAATACTTGTGTTAATTGTGATGCGTAGTGTGTTAATTGTGATGCTTTTCATTCTTCATTCCGGGTGAATCAAAAGTTTAAAGATTGAGGGCTGCATGCGCATGCCTAAAGCTTTTCATCCTCAAATGTCAATTTTCCAACCACTTATAAGAAAAAAAAAAGACAAAAGAAAATGCAGAATGCATAACTTACATTATATAAGAAAAAATGTAAAGGAAAAATAAAATGCAGAATGCATATACATTATAAAAGAAATATAAATACAAAATTAAAGGGTCAATTTTAGAAAAAGTAGAATTCTAAAAAAAAATAAAAAAATGGAGATGCGGGGTATCGATCCCCGTACCTCTCGCATGCTAAGCGAGCGCTCTACCATCTGAGCTACATCCCCACGTCACAGTTAGAGTAGAAATCAAATTATTTATAACCTAATTGTAGCTACTTAATTTCTCTTCACAGTTGCTTAGCTTCGAGTTCTTCGTATACTATTTGAGCTTTCTTCAATAATTATATCGGAAGAATCTCACCTGACAAGTATAACCACAATGTGTCTGTCCATGTATATATTTTTTTTTCATCGACGGATTAACTAACTTGATTGTAGTAAATACTCCAACTGTAAATACACTTCTGCTAACTTTGCACTCACATTTTTCCCCCCGCCATGGACTTTGATATACTCCTATATCACATTTATCGTGCCCTTCTCAACCATAATCCATAATATTAAGGCTGTAATTTCATCTTTTTAATGAAATTCTTCTCATTATATATATAAAAGAACTACTTTCACCGTTTTATATTATAAGACTTTTTAGAATTATCCACATTCATATAGATGTTAACGAATCTGGACATATATGTGTATAGATTCATTAACATCTACTTCCTCCGTTTCACAATGTAAGTCATTCTAGCATTTCCCATATTCATATTGATGTTAATGAATCTAGATATATACATCAATATGAATGTGGGAAATGCTAGAATGACTTACATTGTGAAACGGAGGGAGTATATATGAATGTGGACAATGTTAGAAAATCTTAAAATATGAAGCGGAGGGAGTATACACGATTTACTAAAGGTACATGTAACAGGAACATCAGCTTTGATGATTTGGTAAATAAACATGATCTGTGGTCTTGGGCTCTTGGTACAGGGAGATCCACATTTGACAGTGATCATGCAGGTTGCGCCCACTCGGTACAATAAAACTAAGCATGAGCTGAAGGAGAGTAAAGAAGTAGAGTATACATACAAAATGCTTATCCAGTGTCAATTTCTGAAAATAAAAATATAACTGCATCTGATCAGGACTCCGAGAGTCTGAGCCTTGTGACCACTGATCAGACATGAAGTGGTAGTAGTATGACATATCGGCTTGTGAACGACAGAAGCGTGAAATAGCTACTTCATCCGTCCTAAAATATAGCTACCTATTATTATGCCGCTATATTTTAAAACGGAGAGAGTAGAAATATCATCTGGTGATGCGCCACGGATAAGACGATCAATTCACTATAAATACAGGCATCTCATCTGCTGCTGACTTGTTGAGAGAGCGCTTCCCCAACTTGTGTCTTTGCAGGGATATAGGATTTGATGTTGTGGAATAAAACTGCAATCCTCACTGAATAAATCCATAACCCATCCTCAAGAGTTGGGCCCTGAAGTACCAGCATTAAAAGGCTCTAGCAACCAGAAATAGATCCTCTAACTTACTGCTCTCTAACTTTAAGTGGCTGACATATGTGCTCATGACTAGCGTGCCGCATATCAGAGGACAGTGCGTTAGAGGAGTCTCTTCGCTAGAAACCATGGACTTCCCTGAATAATGCCCTTACACCCCCGAGAAGCATCCATCCAAGTTCCTCTTGGTGGTGATGAATTGATGATGAGTTGAAGCAGCAGCAACTTCACTTGCATGACCTACAGCGGTCAGAAGTCATCTCGATGGGTTTTTATCTGGTTATGGGAGGGGAAAAAAATTTATGAGAGCAGTTCAGGAATGATAAGGTCAGCAGCGGCGACGGCGGTCGGCTTGCGGCGGCCGTGAATGTGGAGGCATGGTGGCGACCGTGGCTGTGGTGGGAGGAGGCACGGTGGTGACCACCGTGGTTAAGGTGGGAAGATGCATGGCGGCCTCGGACGGCTAGCCGAGGGCGTAGGAGACGGCTGCATCTGGCCGGCGCGGCAGCGTTTGGAGGATGGGTCGGAGACCGGCTTGGCGTAGAGAGGCGTAGCCGATGGCAGCGGAGGCCGGCTCGGCGCGAGAGGCGCGGACAGCGGAGATGGAGGCCGGCTTGGCGCGAGAGGCGTGGCCGATGGAGGGAGGCCGGATTGGTACGAGAGGCGCATCCGGTGGAGGAGGCCGGCTTGGCGCGAGAGGCGCTGCCGGCGGTGGAGGAGGCGACCTCGGTACGAGGAGGAGCTGTTGGTGGATGTGGTGCGGTCTTCGGCGCTCGAAGGCTGGCCGGCGGGGGGCGCCGGTGCAGGGGTCCCACATGTCGGCAGAGGTTGAGGGGTGGTGGGAGCATTGGTGCATCAGCCGTGGATTCGCAGGTGGTGAGCAGCGGGTGAAAACTCAGCCCGGCCATGGCCGGGCCGACAACGATGGTTAATTCTCCCTCTTGAGGGCGTTGTCGTGCTGTCTCATCCCTCAAGGGTGGTTGTCGGGCGAAAGCCCAATCCTGGCTCCTGTGAGCCCCGACGGACGGCGGCGGCGGTTTACCGTCGCTTCTCTTCTTGAAGACATCGTTTTGGCATCCCCTAGCCGAAGCCTCTCGATGGATTGGTGCAAGCACGCTCTAAGAGTTGGCTTTGTGTTGGTTGTGAGAGTGATTTTTTTGGGCGATCTCGTCTGTGTTCCTTTGTTGGTCTAGCAGCAGTCGGTCACGCTTAGCAGCGGCCAGTCTGGTGTTAGCCTTCTCCCGGTCTTGTGTGTTGGCGCTGTCGGTGCGTGGGTGGTGGTATATTTTTTCCTTTTTCCTGGTTACGACCCTCCAGGGTTGTAATCTTGTATTTTTTTCTTGCTCTATCAATAGAACTTCGCACCGTCTCGTGCGAGTCGTTCAAAAAAAAACTAAGTGAATAACCAGAATGCTTGATCTGTTCAATAATGTTTTGTGCTAAATAGCTGTGTACAGTAATGAACTAAATAAAAAGAAGGGAGGACTTACATTCAGGACAGGGTTTTACAGCATCATGATCGAAGGGGAAAAAAAATAGAACTATTAGGGCCCTTTGAATCGTAGGAATGGAAAAACGAAAGAATAGGAAAAACATAGGATTCTTACAGGAATGCAGTGCAAAAACAGAGGATTGGAAAATACAGGAAAAACACAGGATTGACCGTTTGATTGGACCACAGGAAAAAACGCAGGAATCGGATGAGAGAGATAGACTCAAAGGAATTTTTCCAAGAGGTTGGAACTCTTGCTAACTTTTCTCCAAAATCTCTATAGGATTAGTCATTCCATAGGAATTTTAAAGGATAGTATAGGATTCAATCCTTTGTTTCAAAGGTTATCATAGGAATTTTTTCCATAGGATTAAAATCCTTCAAATTTCCAACACTTTTCCTACAAATCAAAGGGGCCCTTAACCCATGTATATGAACACTGTGATGCAGAATCTTGCTCAATCCGCAGATCTGGGAAATGTGCAATCTTGTGCCAGTCATGGCCTTTGCTCTCCTGACAACCAAAGATCTGTAGAGCCCGTAAGGAAGATGGCAATTCTGGAAGTGACTGAATTAACATGGCTTCTGCAAATTGTAAGGATTCTAGGGAGGTGAAGCTTGCCATGATTGAGGGTAGAAACACCAGATGAGAAGCATTGAACACTCCAAACCTCGTAAGCTGTGTTCGTCGTCCTATTGTATCCTCATATATTAGGAAAAAGAAAAACTGATAATCTATCAACCATTCATACATTTAATAAAGACAAAAAGAACTGGGTCAAATGGTAGGTTGTGCACAGGCTTAAATTTATTAATTCATCAAATGCTACAAAAATATTGCTTTACATTTCTTTTATTATTCTGCTCAGCATGAAAGCCTTGTAAAACTTAAGTATTGATTTCCATGTGTATCTCCAGGTGTAGAGGCTGGGATATTATTCTAGTCTCAAAAGAAACACATTTTCTAGTTTGTACCATGTAAATTCATCTAAATAAACCGAAATGTCAACAACACCCCCACTTTGACTCTCACCTTGTACTTTGATGACGGCACTCATGATTTATCAACGAAAAACCACGAGTACATATTTAGTTTCCGGTTCTTGAACCCCTAGCAGATTAATTAGCAAGAACCTCTGATGCTCTGGGGCTTTGTTTTGTCACAGGAAGTTTAATTAAGGATTGATCGATACCGGTCATGCAAGTTGCATTTAGACAATCGAATACAGTGATCTAAGCATAAGCAACAGTAGAGCATGGAAGTAGAATTCAAAGCACTCCCAATGCCAAAAACCTATGTATACAAGAAGTGAACTTGATCGATCAGGTGACTGGCCTCTGATTGGAATTCAGACATGATTCCTTTGATCCCCAGAAAAGCAGATCCGAAGTTCCTGGTGACAGCTTTAAGGAATCTAATTATTTAAAGACCTAACTATAAGTGGTGGCTATCAATCATTAGCTTTGATCACAGAAAACCATCAGGTAGTCATCAACATCATACTTTCTGTGAGTTGTTCAGGCAATCAGGACTGTAAGAACGAAGAATTAACCGATACCCAAGAAAACTTCAGCAAAAACACAAAAGGAAAATGGTAGGATAGTCGAAACCCACGGAAATAATCAGAACACTCTGTTCCATATTGCTAGATGCAAATCAAATAGGAGGCGTCAGTGAAAATGCCTTAAATGTTACAAATGTGTCAAAATACACCAAGGGGCAAATAAGTTAGGGTTAAACTTTAAAGACATCAGCTTAGCCTACAAAACAGGAACCAGCTCAGGAAAAAGAAGGGACGACTTGCATATAGAAAAATTACAAGTATGAATTCCATGAATATGACGATGGTATATCTTCTACAATCCGCAGATCTGGGATATGCGCAATCTTGTGCCAATCACGACCTCTACTCTTTCGACATCGCCGCATTAATACCGGGTTACAACCAAGGATTTGAAGCCTCCGCAAGGAGGAAGGAAGTTCTGGAAGTGACTGGATTAACATAACTCTTGTAAACTCTAAGGATTCAAGGGAGGTGAGGCTTGCCATGATTGAGGGCAGAAATTCCAGATGGGAAGCATCCCTCACTCCAATGCGTTGAAGATTATTGCAGTTTTGCATCAACCACTCCTCAGGTAAGCATCTACAGCTGTTGATGGTCATATTTGTAACTGAGGTGACGCTTCTCAGTGGGGCCCATTGCAAGACAAATGGATCGCTAATTTGCAGTCTCTTAAGTTTCCTAAGGTATGAAGTACAGGCAGTGACAACTTGGTTGTGTTCAGAGGCTTGAAACCGCTGAGATGAAACGACAGGAAGCTCTTCAAGCTTGTTGCACCCAATCACCTTCAACTCTGTGAGGGATGTTAGCTCTTCCATGCCATTTAAATCCGCAAGTTCGTGGCAGCTTACGATTTCCAAACAACTTAGCGCTATCAAACTCTTGCACACTTCAACAGGTGGAAGTGCTGCTATATCACAACCATATAGCATCAAAGTAGTAAGAGAAGTAAGACCACACAATGAGTTAACCAGACAAGTCTCATAAGTACCACATGACCCAACATGAAGTTTTTTCGTTGGCAACGGCAACCTGATGGTTGCCGGAGGGACCATTAACTTTGGGCATCCCAACACTGTCATGTGTTTTAGAAAGGAGAGCATCTGTAAGTGATCCATCGGCAATTGAACAAGATTTTCACAATGTTCAATATGTAGTTCCTCCAGAGAAAGAAACTGGTTAAGTTGCTCAAGTGTTTCCAGGTATGGGCAGTGACAGATCTTCAGCCTGGAGAGTGATGGCTTTTGGGGTTCTGCATTTTCATTAGGCACATAGGGTTCATGAAGAGTAGTCAAACCAACACTATCCATTTCAAGATAATTAACAGTGGATGGTAGTGTTGGTACATTTCTCAATTCTTTGCAGTGTCTGACGACTAGTGCCTTAAGCCGGGGAAACAGATGCTCGCCTTCCATTTCAACCCACTCTTCTAGTGCTGGAAGATGTTCAATAAATAGATACTCAAGAGATGGGAAGCCAAAAGGTCGCTCACACCCGTAGAAGGAACTATCTATTCTTTTCACTGAGTTCAAGCAGATTAAGTACAGATATTTCAGGGAAGGAAGTTCGCCTAGAGGTGGAAGATGCTGCCAGTAACTGCAATTAGAGATATAGAGATATGTCAAATTGATGATAGTGGTGTTTCCCAACCAACATGGAGATCTGGAACCGTTATATCCTTTGATCTTTAACTTGGTGAGGTTCATGTGAGGTTGAAGGTTATTCAGTACTCGTTCCTCTGTGTCTGATTCCTGTTGGCTGTTTTTCCAAGTGAGTGACAACATAATGAGATTTTCCTTTTCACCCAGCTTAGCCAAAGTAGCTTCGTCTGCATTGACATTCTCAAGACAACGGATACACAAATAGCGGAGATCTTTCAGATCCATGAGCTCGCTTGCTATGAAACCACACTTAGGTGGGACATTAACTTCATGTAGGTCTTGAAGGGAAGTCAAATGCCCAATGTAAGGGGAGAATCCATATATAGTACCAGAAAAGTATATATGTCTCAGACTAATTAGATTTCCCAATCGCCAGGATACCAACAGACATCTATTCAACTGTATCATTTGAAGATGATATAATTTGTATATAGAACATGGACACCAAAAGGAATATTTCCCCACTTTCTTCTGCGATTCCGAGTGATACAGATAGCGAAGGTGCATTAAATTACCAAATTTGTCAGGCAGCTTGAAAAGCGACGAATTCTGTATGTGCACAACACGCAGTTTTGTTGCTGACTTCAGCATTTTTTTCAGTACAATCCATTGATCCCTTTCATGTATTGTTTTGTCAAATGATATGAGGAGGGTCCGCAAGTTCTTAAGCGAAGAGAAATCTGTGATCACTACATGATTTACTATGCTAATTGCTGCATGCCGAACTGTTCTCGGAATACTGCCATATTCATCACTAGAAATCCTCATGCACTCCTTTCTGGAAACCGTACGTGCAAGTTCATGCAATAAATCATGCATAACATAGTGTTCATTAGTACACTCACCATAGCCTTCATACAAATTAGTGGATTTGTTTAACTGCAGTTCAAAGAAAGACTTCTTTGTTAGTATACCCAAATAAAACTCTCCTATATCCTCTGGCCTCTGGTTTTCATTTGCAGATAGCTGAATTAGTCCTGAACCCATCCAAAAGTTAATCAGCTCATCCTTTCGAAACCAGTAATCTTCTCGGAACATGCCACAATATCTGAAGCAAGCCTGTAGATGTGGGGCCAGATGATGATAACTTAATCTTAAAATTTTCATAATGCCTTCACTATTATGCTCAATATTAGAGATATTTTCTCTAAGCATTCTGTTCCAGTATATGCTATCCAGAGAGTTGTTCAACAGCCCACCCATGATCTTTGCTGCTAATGGGCATCCACTCAATTTCCTAGTAATTTTCTTGCCTATCTCCTGTAGGTTGAAATAATCATCAGGATTTACTTCGAAAAAAGCATGCCTGTTAAAAATTGCTAAAAGATCTTTGTCATGCAGTCCCTCCAATCGTAGAGACTTGGTTCTTCCTCCTAGTACCCTTTCAACAATATCTACCACTGATTCCATCCGGGTTGTCAATAAGATTTTGCTTCCCTTTTGACCAAATTTCAGAGGAGCTACTAGTTTCTCCCAGTCAGGCCTTCTCTCATCATTCCATACATCATCAAATACAAGAAGGAACTTCTTGGATTTCAGATTCTCTCTGACGATTTCTTGAAGTGTATTGAAATTAGTAACATTAGTACCTTCTCTAGTGATTTCTTGTATAATCTTTTTCATCAGAGCAGGGACATCAAAGTCATTGGACACACAAATCCACATAGCCTGATCAAAGCACTGCTTCACTCTTTGATCATTGTAGATTGCCTGTGCTAGCGTGGTCTTGCCCATGCCACCTATGCCAACTATAGAAAAAGCATTTACAGCACAAACATCATGGTCATGAACGTTGTCTTGTTCAATCAGCCATTCAACAATCTTAACCCTCTCAGTATCACGGCCAATTACAATTTCATCAACACTGAAGGAGCTAGTCTCACGAGGATTACTAACCTCCTGATGACATACGTGCCTTGAAGTACAAGAATCCAGCCGGTCCACGAGTAGAACAAAACGCTCCACACCAACAACAATTTCATCAAGTTTTCTGATGGCATCCAACAATCTCTTAAAAGTTCCAGCCTTAAAAGTACTATTGAATTGCTGAACAACCACCCTCTTGCACTTGTACAGAGAGCTGCTCACCTTGTTACCTCTAGTTTTCACCTTTTTCTCAAGCTTGTAGTACTCCACCTCATCGAGCACATCCTCTGCCTCCTCGACGGCATCCCTGAGCTGCCAAAGCCAGGCATCAAGCGCCTCGCTCTGATCCCTTATCCTCTCCATATCAATTGCATCAAAGACAACTTGGACTTGTGGGAGAGTCCTCTCAAGCCGCTCCTGCACCGACTTCATCCCCTCCGCCTTCGCATACTTCTCAAGGTAATCGAAAGACTTGCGGACAATCATGGAGATGGCCGACACAGCCACCGATTTGCCGGCGAAAGCCAAGGCCATGGTAGGAGAGACGGTGAGAATTGAGAACGGGGGTTAGCAAAAGTATTGAAGTAGCTGCTAGGAAATCTTGTAGCTGGCAATTCAGCAATAAAACGAAAGATAAGGAGCTGGACTGGAATTGGAGTAGTAATCTGGGCATGAATTGTATTTTTTCTCTGGAGTCAACACTAGCCCAACCGACGAAAGCGACTCCAGGATGAAATTTCTTCTGTTTTGCCGATCATTGACCAAGAACTGAGTGGTGTGATGTGTCGTGAGGTCGTGACAAGCCCCACTTAGTGGGCTTATAGTGATGGAATAGACTACCTAATTAAACGGGTAGATCCAAGCGAATACTGCATTCTTTACCGATCCGGCTCCCTTCTTTCTTGGGAGCTTCCTAGCAAATCTATGGACTAGACTGACTAGTAAGCATCAGTGAGCAAGAGGAACTCTCTCCAAAGGTTTATTAGAACCAGTACACTAGTACAGTATAATTATAGCACTACTAAATTCAAGCAGACATAAGCACGAACAGGAAGAGGGCATGGGCAGAAAGGGAGCGGAGAGCAGAGCTTACCGAAAATTTCCGGGCAACTTCCTCTTGCCTGCTGGCTCTCTCTCTCTCTCTCTCTCTCCTTCCAACCTGGGTTCCGGTTTTCAATGGAGGAGACGGACGGGGGACTGGCCTGCCGGCGGCCGGGCGGTGGACGCCGGCGCGGAGGAGGAGGACCGCCGCCCGCCGCAGAGGCAGCGGAGTGGGGAGCAGGCAGCAGCAGCAGCAGGCCCATCTAGGCCCGTATCGGTCATCCTGACCAAGCCCGGCCCAACTTACACGTAATGCAAATGCGAATCCCGTTCCGGATCAATTAATATTGGGCTGCGCGGACGTTAACCATGTTTACGGACCTCCTTTTGGAACCTGTTTACAGGTTCTGCTATTTCAGATGCACATTGATTTAGAGGTCTGGCAGTGGTTAACCTTCAACTCCACCTCTTCTAGAGTTGGAGTTCAGCCAAATAATTTAACCTCCACCTAAAATAAGATTGAAAATAGGTGGAACGTTCTTACAAAACAAACTATAGAGTTTGAGCTAGATTTAAGTTGTTTCACAACTTCACTCTTGACTCAACTTCTATAATAAATTTAGGAGTTGAAGCTCTACCAAACAGGTCTTTAAACCTAATAAGTTAAATTAGAGTCATTTAAAATTTTATATTTCTTTTAAAAGTAGTAAAGAGCAAAATGATTCATTCAAATATTATCAATATAATTATATATCCATATACGTAGATTTGTGAAGCTACCACATATCTGTTGAAAATATAAATAAGGTTACGAAGGTCTGTCGTCATATCATTTCCTTCAAGAGAAGACGTTAAAAAATTTGGGAAGAATATTCCAAAATTCAATAATTACCAAAAAGCATCGAATATGGTAAATATTGTCTCAAATAGTCCAAACCAGCATGAATGCAGAAGGCAACAAGTCACAATATGCTCAAGGTAAAATCCAAGTTATCGGGAAGAAACAGAGCGCCCCGTGATCAAAAGAAGACATATAACTATAGAGTGAAGATTGAGCGCGCGCGCGCTCTCTCTCTCTCTCTGGCATCTATAAAAGGAGAAGCTGGCGAAGCCAGAAGGACACGAAGTGGAGCAGCCCTCTGATAGAGTCCCAGAAGTCACTCTCTAGCTCTAGTAGTAGTAATTTAAGAGCCCGCCTTGCTAGTATATTGGAGCTAGGATTGTAATATAATTTATGTAAGGTAAGCAAACTTTGTTTATACCATCTCTCGGGTTCTTGAAAGAGAAAACCTTATGTATGCTATTTTGTGGTAATGTAGTAGCTTAGTTCTACGGTAAGGACCCTACAGGTTATTTTTATGTAAACTCACATAAATAGAACAAGGGCTTAGCAAAGAAAACTTAATAAAACTACTACATTACCACAAAATAACATACATATGGTTTTCCCTTTCGGAAACCCCTAGGGATGATATAAACAAAGTTTGCTTACCTTACACAAATTATATTACAATCATTTCTCCAATATACTAGCAAGGTGGACTCTTAACAGATTACGAGCTAGAGAGTGGCTTCTGGGACTCTGGCTGAGGGAGTGAGGGTTGCTGCCTCTCTGTGTCATTCTGGCTTTGCCAGCTTTCCCTTTTATAGAAGCTGGAGAGGGAGCTCAATTTTCACTCTTATTTTTATCATATTGTGGCATCACGGGTTCTTCAGAGAGTTAAATGTCTTCTTTTGATCACGGACGCTCTATTTATTCCTGAGAACTTGGATTTTACCTTGAGCATATTGTGACTTGTTGCCTTCTGCATTCATGCTGGTTTGGATTATTTGAGATAATATTTACCATATTCGATGCTCTTTGGTAATTATTGAATTTTGGAATATTCTCCCCAAAATTTTCAACGTCTTCTCTTGAAGGAAATGATATGACGATAGAACTTCGTAACTTTATTTATATTTTCAACAGATATATAGAAAATGATATGACGACAGAACTTTGTAACTTTATTTATATTTTCAACAGATATATAGGTAGAGCGTTCTTACAAAGTAAACTATATAAATGTACAAGTTTAGATAGCTTCACAACTTCACTCTATATATCTAACTCCTGTAATTAAATTTAGAAGTTAAAACTCTACCAAGCGGGTCCTTACCTAATAAATTAAATTAGATTGATTTAAAATTTTATATTTCTTTAAAAGTAAAAAAACAAACTGATTCATTCGAATATTATCAACATAATCATATATCCGGATACATAGATTTGTAAAGCTAGGAATACTTAGCTCCAAGAAATCTCGAATATGAAGTTGTGCCAAATAGACTTTAATAGAACTGGTTCACGTAGGAGTACTAAACAATCTTTACTTCATACGAACCTATTGTACCTACCAGTATAGCTCAAGAACAATGACAAACAGAAACCAAAGTTGTGTGGGTACGCATAACCAAATGGAAAAAGAAGGCAAGGTTACAAACATCGGAAATTGGTGGTGGTGGTACTACACTACTACTCTCTTAACGGAAGCAAAGTCTAAAAAGAAATAGTGTTTCACCGGCACAATCTTTTTAAGCCAAAAATCTCAGGACAACATTGTAAACGTAGCTTAGGAAGCATTCTTCTTGAACATCAGTCAAAGGCCTCCAAACTATTCACTCCAATGCTGACCGGTTTGGGAACTAGCTTGCTGATATAGACTTTAAAAAAGGGATATCAGCATCTGCATTACGTTGAGCTCTATAACTCAGTAGAAATGATGTGGCCATTATGATAAATCTTCTAGTAAGCCCGAGTTCGTATATGCATGTTCCTAACTTCTCCTTCCTTATTTTTCACATACGCGCATTCTTCTTGAACGTTAAACGGTGTGTTTTTATTAAAAAAAATATAGGAAAATTGCTTTAAAAAATCGTACTAATCCATTTTAAAAGTATTTAGCTAATACTCCATCTGTTTCCGGTTATAAGATGTTTTGACTGGTCAAAATTAAAACTGCTTCAAGTTTAACTAAGTTTATAGATAACTATAGTACTTCCTCCGTTTCACAATGTAAGTAATTCTAGCATTTACCATATTCATATATGTCTATATTTATTAACATTAATATGAATATAGGAAATGTTAAAATGACTTACATGAAACGGAGGGAGTAATATTTATATTACCAAATTAGTTTTAGTAAACTAATAATTAAATAAATTTTTATAATAAATTTATCTTGGGTCAAAAACATCACTATTTTTTTTCTATAAACATGGTCAAACTTAAAGCAATTTGAAGTTAAAGTCATCTTATAATCTGAAACGAAGGGAGTACTTAATTAATAAATCGTCCGCTAATCTATTGCTCCATTTGCGAGCTGGGTATAGGTTCCCAATCCATTAGTCCAAAACAACCTAAACCTTGTATCAAGTACTTTTCGAGATAAGATACTAGATTTGGTTTTAAACCCAGCTATAAAGATAAGAGTAGGCGTGATGGTATATTCGCTAAGCTGAAGTTTGTTTTAAAAAATATCAAATACATGAGTTCTATATTTTGTTACAAGTGGACTTAGAGTTTTATTTATGGTATATGACAGTAGAGCTAGAGTCAAACCATGTAACCTATTCTACCTTTTAAATATAGAGGAGGGGCAACAACACTACGCTGTAACTATGAGGACAATGGGTATCGAGTGTAATTTGGCTTCTCCTTGAATAAAAAAAGGGAAAATATTGTTTATCTTATTTTTTTTCTTAGAAATATACCATATGAAATTTATTTTACACGAATAGACCGTCGTCAAGTGTTGGCTCAGCAAATTAGCAAACGGTATCACTAGGGAGTAGTGCGATACTGGCGTTCGTAGGGCACGAAATGGCCACGATATCGCATGGTGGAGTCGCTAAATGGACACCATATCGCCGGACCAATGCGTGAAAGTAACATAGGCATGACGAGGCGAAGCTCTCGTGCGCTAGTCTCACGAAGTGGCAAACATGGTCCGCGGTCTCACGCTTCAGTAGCGCGAAGGAGTTTGGAGCGGGAGGTGGAGAAGCAGTGGTCCCATGGTCTCGGGGATGGCAACGCAACACAGCCTCACTCCACACTGGCATGATAGGGCAGCGATTTCGCTGCGTAGACACGTGAGATCGGTGGCGGTGTCGCGCAGTGGGCCAGCGAGATGGGCGGTGGTGTCACGCTCCCCACCGTGAGACCGTCCACAAGTAGCCACGCTTCATCTAGCTCTGTACGGACACGAGAGGGTTCGGGGACACCACCGCGCGCTCTTCTTGGTAGCCGTCAGCCGATATGAGCTAGTGGAGGCAGTGCTCAGCGTATGCGACGGTGGCAGCGGGGACAATGGCCACGGCGCCGTTGTAGTCGCCACAGAGGAGGTTGTTGAGGTAGACCTTGATGCATCACTACTACAGAAAGGGTTTTCCCAGACGGCCGAAAAGAGCTTTCGCGTGCGGTTGGCTGGGCCATCTGCCCCCAGGTGTATGTGAAGATAACCATTTTCGCGAGCAAACGGACCAAACCACGCGCGAAGATATATCTTCGCAAGCGAGCCTCCTACTACGCATGCATACGAAGATCAATTTTCGCATGCGACCGCGTTAAGAGGTCCGCCTGCCATCCTCTCGGTGTCCGCCTCCTCGTCACGGAGGAAGACGAGGCACTCGAGGCAATCACGATGCGTCCACGCACGGACCTCCACGACGCTGCAGTCCATGCCGACGAGCACAAGCGCACAACGAACACCTTTGAGATGAGCCACGTCCGGTCATCGCCCATCAGCTCCAACACCATTAGAGCAAGTTCAATAGTATAGCCCACTACTAGCTCCAATTTATCTATAGCCAATCTAATAGCCAATTTATACAATAGTTGCTTACTATACTATTAATATATGGTCCCGCCTGTCATACACACATTGCGTCTTGGAGTCCGTGCTGCAGCTGGCTACAAATCTATAGCCCGTTGCTCTTCTCTCTCATCGTTTATCTCATTAAAATATGTTTATAGCTGGCTAATAGTCTGTTCCTGCTCTTAGCCCCTCGAGCATCATCAACCGTGTCACGCCGGCCCGTTCCACGTCCCCAGAGACCGCAAAGATCAAAGTCTGTCACGGCCCCTCCACGCGAGACCGCCCCGCCCAGACGTTACAGGCCATGACGCCACACTATTATATTCTCATCTTTTCCCTTGAGCAAATTTAATAGTATAGCCAACTACCGTCTCCAAATCATATATAGTTAATTTAATAGTCAGTTACCTATAAACATATATTGCATTATTAATATATGGTCTTATCTATCATACACACATTGTGTCTTGGAGTCTGTGCTGCAGCTGTCTCCTCTCTCATATTTTATCTCCTCGACATGTGTTTATAGCTAGCTTATAGTATGCTATTGTGCCTGCTCTTATACTTATCTGCCAAAATTTAAATTTTTCAACCTTAAATTTAAAGTTAATTTTGGGATCTTCTTTTATCAAAATTTATTTTTCAACCTCTTTATTTTTAGATCGCTAAAAACACATATATACAAGTTTTATTCGCGAAATATTTTTCATTTGCAAATATGCCATTTCGCTTAGAGCAGGTAAAATAGGTCTTTTAAGTGGGCGATAATCTGTACACGGTGGCAAAAGTAATGATCTGGAGAAGAAATTAGTGGAGAGAGAGTGAAAGTGGGCGACTAATTTATCGTGAGCAGCAGAAAAAGTTAGATTAAAATATTGAAAAATAATACTACCTCCGTCCCAAAATAAGTGCAGTCACAAGTTTCCGCGCCTAACTTTGATCGTCCGTCTTATTTGAATTTTTTTATAATTAGCATTTTTGTTGTTATTAGATGATAAAACCATGAATAATACTTTACTCGTGACTTATATTTTTAATTTTTTTAATTTTTTTTAAATAAGACGAATGATCAAAGTTAGGCGCGAAAAACCATTGTATTGCTGATGTGGATGTTTTTGGAGCCAACCGTGGACTATACTATTGACCTTGCTCTTATTCCCCAAATAAAGAAAACAGTGGCTCTTAGAGCAAGTTCAATAGTATAGCTAACTAATAGCTCCAATTCATCTATAGCCAATCTAATAGTTCATTCATACAATAATTACATACTATACTATTAATACTAGTCCCACCTATCATAGACACACTACGTCTTAGAGTCTGTGCTACAGCTGACTACAAATATGTACTCCCTCCGTCCCAAAAAAAGACAAACCCTGGTTTCCGTGCCCAATGTTTAACCATCCGTCTTATTTGAAAAAATTATAAAAAAAATTAAAAAGACAAGTCACACACAAAGTATTAATCATGTTTTATCATCTAGCAACAATAAAAATACGAATTATAAAAAAATTTCATATAAGACGGGCAGTCAAAGTTGGACACGCAAACCCAGGGTTTACCTTTTTTTTTGGACGGAGGGAGTAGTCCGCTGCTCTTCTCTCTCCTGATTTATCTATACTAATATAAAAAGTACGAGCTCATCCACAATCCAGCAATCCTGCAGATCCGCTATCACGTGGGACCCACCTGTCATCCGGACAAAGAAACCGCACAGACCACGTCGCGCACGGAAAAAAATTTCGCCAAAAAAAAAACTGCTTCCATTTCGCAAAAAAAACTGCCTCCCCTTCTCCTTCGCACGCGTCCTCCGCAACGCTAATCACGCGCCTGGTCCGTCGGCGCCGCCGCCGCACGCCCGCCCGCCGGAGCCGCTCACCCTACCCCGTCGCCGCCTCGGATCCGCCTGTGGCCGCCGTCTCCCGCCGGAGCCGCCTCCTACGCCACCCATCGCCGCCTCCTATGCGCCCGCCGCTTCCCGCCGCCGCCTCCTACGCCACCACCCCTCCGCCGTCGTCGCATCTGTCCTCAGCCAGATCGGCGCCACCGTGGTCGCCGTCACAAACATTCCTCCCTGTCCACCGCCTCCGCCTCCGCCGCCGACGCCCCACCCAGGTATCTTATTCCTCTCTCAAGCATCGCCAACCCCCTCCCTAAACCCTAATCTATTCCTCTCCTCCCCTCATGCGCCGCCGCGGATGCCCTTGCCGTAGTGTCATCTTGCCGTCGGCCGCCCGAGCAGGTTGCAGTGGGCGAGGCGCCTCCTGCCTTGCTTTCTTTTAATCAAGTGTTCAATTTTTTTTCCTCACAGGAGCAGGATTGAGAACGAGAAGACAACTTTCGATTCGTCTGTTCTCGAGGTGTGTGTTTGTCGCCCAAACCCTAGATTTCATCGTCTCTCCCATTCAGTTTCAATCTATCTTCTTGCAGTAGCTTTGGTTTTATTATGCTTGAACAATCCGTGCCTTGTTGATTTCAGTGAGACCGATGCTAGAGTCACTTGAAGCAAATAGAGTAACTGATTTTTCCCATAGGAGATTGAGACTATTATTTCCAAATCTTAGGTTCGGCTGTAAATACCGAACAACTGATGCAATTTTCCATTGGATGAAATTGAATGTACCCTGATTTCTGAGATGCTGGGCTGCACAGCTCACTATCGATGCTGAGCATTTCTTCGCAGGGATACTGACGTTGCAATCAAGTAGAAATATCCTGTTAGCTAAAGCTTGCCTCAGCTCTGCCTCCCTTAATTATTTATAATTTGCATTTATCTGAACCAAATTCAAATAGAAAATCTGACTAGGTTGCTCTGTTATCTACACCTACTCATGGTTCATATTGCTTTCTATCTTTGTTTTAGTTTTACTGCTTATATTATACATCAAGTTTTTATGCTTTTGCTTGGCAGATGAGGGACACGTTGACCTGAAATTTTACCCACTCTGACCTCCTCCATCGGCTGCGCTGTTGCTCAACCTACGCCACCGCCGGATCGATGGGATCCATTGGCCGCTCCACCTGCGCCATCGCCGGGAACCACCGATCGACCTCCTCCATCGGCTGCGCAGCTGCCGGATCGACGGGAGCCGCCAGCCGCTCGACCTGCGCTGTCATAGGGAGCCGTCGGTTGCGCCGCCGCTCCACCTGCGCCACCGCCAGATCGACGGGAGCCACCCGCTTTCCCCCTCCCGTGCACCTCTACCTGGTATGGTGTCCAACCTAACTTAAAGCTGATGGACATTGTTTGGTTTCACTGTCTAATAGTGTTAAATCCTCCCTATATATCTGAATAGTTCATCTGTCTCTTACGGGAAAAAATGCATGCTTTCTTGCGGTTCCATCTATACAGTATTGAGGTAATTTGAAATTATGGATAATACATTTCATATGTGGATGTTTGTCAGTACATGTTGATGCCATTGTTATAAATCTGTCTTTTTCTGCTACAGCATACACTCCTTGGATATGTTTGTGTGTTTCCATGTGCACTGTTTTTTTTAATCTCATTTCAGTTTACAATTGATTATTTTGGTTCCTCTGAATCGTCTAGGGATAAATTGATTGAGCAGCTTCAAAGCAGACGCCTCCCTCCGCATCTCCGTTCCGCTCTCTCCCCTTCGACCACCTCCACCACCATCGCACGCCGCATCGCCTCTCCAATCTCTCCCCGGTGGCTGCGAATCAATCCCAGCTGGATAACACTCATCCCTCATGCCATCTACCTCTCCAGTATAATATACTTCTAGGTAAGTTCTGCTGAATGCATATTCTGCCATGTTTTATCTTCATGATAACAATTATTATATGTTGATGCATCACGTAAAGTTGAAAGTCATCCTAATAGAATAAATATATGAGAAGTTACCTGAATGACAACTCAGAGGGTAAAGCTGTATTTTTTACATGATGTCGCATGCACTATATTTGACACAGTAGATCAACAACAATTAAACTACACTGTATCAAAATGACAAAGTAAGATGGTTAGTCCAACTATAATCCATCCTCACTTAAAAGATTAACCTTTTTTGAATAGTGCTTTCAATATTATTCAATGTTAGTAATGAACACTTTTCAGCTAACATGATGCATACTGGACAAGTGAAAAAAATATTTTTGAAGGGCTACTAAAGCACACTTTTTTGGCAAAATGGCATGACTCTGTTTCAAAAAGTATATTTGGTTGCTTCTAGAAGTAATAATTTATATATAGTTTTGTTCCTATAACTGTTTAGGATCAACTAATTTTGTTCCACCACTGATTTGATCTCAAATTGGTTCATTTCTTCCAATTCCATAAGGCACATGTTGGGTGGTTATTGACAGCCATAACATTAGATATAGTGTGTTTTAGTGCTGCAATCTACATTAATATGTTCATGTCATTTTGTATATCCTCAGTTCTCTATTGCCTCTCTCAGACAGAATATGATGAATTTCATCCTATTTCATAATCTATTTATTACAAGAACAAGATGAGCAAGCAGCTAATCATTTTGTTAAAATAGAGATGCAGAGATTCTTTATTGTTTGCATGGATATGAATTGAACGAGGGTAATATTAATATCTTATTGATGTTCCAAAAAATGTAGTGCGCAATTGTCGTACAAATGAATACATTTTTTGATATGAGGCGGCATGGTGTGGAGGCGTAGGTCAACATGTACAAATAGTCTGCCCACTATATGTTTGTTATAGTGTTTTGCCTTGATAAGAATTTTTGACTATGCTGACCATTTATTGCTTTTTACAGGCATATGATTTTCTCGGTGATGCATTTATTAACACGATTGCAGATACTGCATGTGTTGCAGTTGATGTATGAGTATACTTTCCTGAAGAAGAGGTAGCTGATTTGTGTAGTTCACACAACATAAGCAGCAGTTGTCTAATCCCTTGGATAAAACCATATCAACTACATGAAGATCTGGTCAGTTTTTGTCCTTGTATATATGTTTTCCCCTCTTTCATCTATAAATATATTTATGTTTTTTAAAATTTAGCTGGAGTAAGATGATCAATTGCTCCCAGTTCCCATGCATTCAACACTTCCATAATCAGCACCTTCTTTCATATATAGATTATTTCTATTAAATCTATTCCATTCCATTCAGTACTAGGCATATGCATTACATTAGGCCCACACAGGAGAAACATGTCATATATTAAGTCATAGAGTTCTGCCTTCAGATTTGGCAAGAAAAAGATATTTAGAGTGGCTTCAGGTAATCTTATGCAAGCGGGCTATAATATTGTTATTAATTTCACTTGGAAAGGGTCCTCTATCTGTCCATTGAAATTCACAGTGCATGTGTTCAGTTCAGTTTTTATCTCTTTTCTGGAAAGAATACCACATATCTCTACTTCAGAGAGTGCAGGCTTTGGCAGTTATCTTTAAGATGGGACCTGCCATAGCCATAGCCTTGATCTCCTCTCTTCAAATGGATGGTGGATGAGGTCTGTTTAATTTGCTTGTCTTAGATTGTGGTTTTACTTATGTTCCTTTTGTTATACAGTTCTGGTGAAATTTTTTATCTCTAGCTGCATCATACATTTCGATCTTTCCAAATCTATAGATTGTGATTTTATCAAAAGGTGCTTGTGCTCCAGTGAAACCACTAGCCATTTTGCTGGTACAGTGATATTAGGGCCATACATGAATTAGGGTTTTGTTTTTTTTGATAAACTTTGGTGATGAGGTTCAGATATCTTCATGTTACTGTATTGAAGCTGCAATCATTTCTAAATTTTCGGATCTCAATTCTTTTTCTGACGATAGCAGTTTGGACTGTATACATGTCATTTTGCTGGTTTCTTTTGCTTTAAGGGAATCAGGGCAGGACAGAAGGAACACTGTGACCATGTCCCCCATGTACGCATCAAGCTCCCAAGTGATAATCTGAATGCCTGCTCAGATCCTAGGCGCCGGCGGAATCAACCTTGACCCATCAATGATGGTCATCCCCCATTGACGATCACATGGTCCATAGAGACCATGGTGTCTGATTTTTGACGGTTTAAGCTTTGTCTACACTTTTTCTTTCTCAGCATTTGCTTCTGATGGTTTATACTTTAGAGTTGGGTATTGGATGTTCATTCTCTAGATGAATTGGTCATGTACTTGAAATTTTGCACATTTGGTACTGAATCTGCACTCGAAGTGGGTTTCCTAATTTGGTTAGGTACATTGTATAAGCTAGATTCGCATTTTGTACAATTGATTAAAGAATATGGTTTGTCTATCTGCGTAGCTTCAAATGAATGATGTTTAATGCTATTCTATTTGTAAATTTACAAAGCAATATATTTGATTGAATTAATTTTAGCCTTTTCGTGCATTGCACGTGCATGGTTACTAGTCTTCTTAAAATGTCAGAGGTGCTTTGCAAACAGATCTCGCTTCATTGATCCAACGACCAAAACGTACAGCCACAGCTAAAGTTGCAGAGGTAGTAACGACTACACAGGATCTCAATCCGTTGTAGCCTTGTAGGGGCCTTCTTGCTGATGTGTATAGACAAAATAACCGGAGTTGGTTGTAAGCAACACACAGAAGCGTCCAATCCGGCGCTCAAAGAGTTCTATGGAGAATCACCACAGTTCTATGGTGTTGCTGCTGTGCATGGATTTAAATGATGCAGACGAGCGCCCTTTCCGTTATATATGCGCTGCTGCTCTTTGCAGACTCTCAATTGCTTTTATTAAAGAATATATACATTTTGTTAAAAAGTCTAAATAACTAGGTCAAAGAATATTGGTTACCACACAGTAACAATTGTCCAATACGCGAACCCTGGTTGTTCCTCTCCCAGGCGTGTAAACCGTGCCAGGTAAACAGCTCAAATTTAGCGTTTTGGCTCAACACACACCGTAAAAATTCAAGAGGATGGCTTGAAGATAAAACTAACTGCAAATCCAATTATCCAAACACAATTTTTATCTTCGTGGGGCAACTCCAAATAAAACATAACTCCAAAGAACGCATATATTGTACTGTGGCAGTTTTACCCCTCAGATCTCATAGCTATTATTGGCCATCACTGATGATTCTTAGCAGTGATGGTTTTAGCCACAAGCCATCCAATTATCAAAGTTAGATGACAAGAAGGCTTGAAGCTAAAACCAGACAATCCAAATCATCTTCGGACCGAAACTTTATCTTCACTGGGGCATCATCAATCAACTCATGAAACGAACAGCAAACATATTGGAACAATTACACCATGCTGCATGAATACCAAGCATCTTTAAATAATTGCATGAATTCCACTTCTTCCAAATCGGAACCATCCAAAGTTTTGCTCAAACAAACAATGTCCAATCTGGAGTTCAAAGATTGTTCACTGCTCTAACTTGCCCCAAAATTTCTGCTCAAGGAGGCATCAGTATCAACTGTTTTTTTCCAGCATTCCTGATACCGATGAACAAGCAGAAAGAAAGAAAGAAATAAAAAATGTGAAGCCCTGATGTACACAAGCCACGATTGAGATGAGCCGCGGCGCATGTAACGAAAGGGCACCTGGTGATCGATCTCCCAGGCGTGTAACTGTGCCAGCTCATCCCAATAGGGGTGCCACGCTGCCACCTGACTTACACATGGGTCCCACGCGTCAGTACTAATTCAAGGCAGTGAAAGAAAAGCAAAACAAAAAAATGTTTTTTCTCCAAAATAATGTTTTTACTTCCTCAAGAAGAATGCCAAAATCCTAAAAAAAATGTAGTAAAAAGAATCAAATTTGAGGTGAAAGATTGAGATTTATTTCGAAATGGGAAAGGAAAGCATGTGTGCGAGTTGGTAATAAATAATGTGGCAGCCGGGGCATGGGTGAGCACAGGGAAGAGAGAGAGAGATTCAAATCCGAGCTCACCCGTAGCTGCAAAGAATGGCTGCCGGAATCCTCCTTCCATCTCGCTGGGTATGGGAGGTGACCGAGGAACAGATTGATTTGCTCATCCTTGGCACCACATCACCAGCTCAAACGATGAACGAGAAGCAGACCCCAAAAACAAATAAAAAGAAAAAAAAATCCATCCAAATCAAATCCGCGGGCGGAAGCTAGTAGTAAGATTTCGGTTGACTTGATGGTGGTGGAGAAGAAGAGGATTGTGGATGTGCCAGATCTTGACAAGAGCGAATCCGTGGGGAGAAATCGAGGAGACGCTCGGTCAGATGATCGGCTAAAACTAATGTGGCTGGCCTCAGGAAGGGGCGCCGAGCGCCGTGGTTACTCCGCGCTCGCCGCCGCTGTACCAGCGAGCAAACCACCAACCCAAATCAAACCAAACCAAACCAAAATCAAACAGCAAGAAGAAAATCAAAAGCAAAGCAGCCAGCGGATTCAGAAGCTAGGGGGGGACTCCATACAGATCATGATTCAGGAAGAGAGGAGCGGATTGGATCGGGGGTTTGAGATGTGGAGAGAAAGGGAGGCGGCGCTGGTTATATATATGGATGGATGGATGGAGAAGACGCTCTGTCTAGCTTTTAGGGTTTCTCGTGTTGGTGAGTGGGCTCTGCTCTTCTGGGCCTCAGGCCCAACAAAGGCCCCCGTTCAACAGCGGCTTCGTTCGTTCTTGCTTTAAGCGGCGGGACCGCCTATTCATCACTCGGGTGATTTTTTGACCCAGATTTTTTTCTTCCCTTAGATTTGCATCCAACGGATTACAAAATAAAATAGCTAATACAAATTTACTTACACAATACTTCTATCAAAATTACAGTGCACTTACATATCATATCAACTAAATTTACATATGTAATTTTAGTTATGGGGCAATTTCGTTTCTACCCCTACTTCAATGTCTAACATTGATTTTACCCCTAATTTTTAGAGTTTTCGTTTTTACCCTCACTTTTCTGAACTGAATGTTTGTTTTGCCCCTACTTTGGATGGTGAAGTTAACGGTGTTAAGTAATTGATAAAATAATGTTTATACCCTCTCATGTATGTTCATTAATTGTGTTTTTGTCCCCATTTTATACATGTAGCTTTGGAACTTTATTTTTGAGAGTATATTTAAAATTAGATGACCACATTGACTAATATAACAATTTGAAAAAATTCTGAATTTGATGGAATTTTGACAAAATTTCATCATTTTGATAGAACTTAAACAAAATTTTGACAACATTTTGTAAAATGTAATTATCTGTTCCCTTTAAATATTAGTCAATGTGCTTCATGTAATTTGAAATATACTAAAAAAATAAAGTTCTAAAGCTACACGCATAAAATGGGGACAAAAACACAATTAATGAGCATACATGAGAGGGTATAAATGTCATTTTATCAATTACTTAACACCGTTAACTTCACCATCCAAAGTAGGGGCGAAACAAGCGTTCAGTTCAAAAAAGTAAGGGTAAAAACGAAAACTCTAAAAAGTAGGGGTAAAATTAATATTAGACATCAGAGTAGGGGCAGAAACGAAATTGTCCCTTTAGTTATATAGGACTGTAATTTTATATTTGAAATAAAATAACTAATGCAAATTTACTTACAGTCATATCAACTAAATTTACATATGTAATTTTAGTTATATAAGACTGTAATTTTATATTTTAAAGAAAATAATAAGTACATATTTACTTACACATTATTTTTATCAAAATTACAGTGCACTTACATGTTAAATCAACTAAATTTACAAATGTAATTTTAGTTCTATAGGACTGTAATTTTATATTTTAAAGAAAATAATAAGTACATATTTACTTACACATTATTTTTATCAAAATTACAGTGCACTTACATGTCAAATCAACTGAATTTACAAATGTAAATTTAGTTATATAGAACTGTAATTTTATATTTTAAAGAAAATAATAAGTACATATTTACTTACACATTATTTTTTATCAAATGCATCGTGCGCTGTGGCGGTGCGAGTGCTGGCCACGGACCCGGATCCAAGCGGCGTGGCGTGTGTGCGATGTGATGTGAACGGGGAACGAGTGCGGGCGTGGTCGTGTGGGGCAGTGAGTGGACCGGGGTTGGAGTTAGCAATCAGGGTTAGGCATGATGATGGGCTGCTGGGCTGTTCGTGGGCTTCTATGCCTTGTGCAAAGATCATGTGGCAAAAAAACGTCAAATGCCAGGAAAAAAATCACGCGGGAGATGTTTAGCAAAATCGTTAAGGGGCATAAAAACCGGAGCAAAGAAATTAGTATTTTCTAAAAAAAAGTTTCTTTAAAAATTAAAGAAAAATGAACCCATTTTTTAAAATTTATACTCCATCCGTTTTTTAATAGATGACGCCGTTGACTTTTTCTCACATGTTTGACCATTCGTCTTATTCAATTTTTTTTTTTGCAAATATATAAGATATAAATCACACTTAAAGTACTATGAGTGATAAAACAACTCATAACCAAATAAATTATAATTATTTAAATTTTTTAAATAAGACGAATGGTCAAACATGTGAGAAAAAGTCAACGGCGTCATCTATTAAAAAACGGAGGTAGTAATAATTAATAAGTAATTAATCATGTGTGATTAAAAGTTGAATTTATAGCCATTAGAAAAAAGTTTAGGAAGCATGCTAACGAAAAATGGGTAATTTGATGTTTAGAATGGGCCTCAGAGCTAATCTCCGACACGAAAACAAGAACTATTTTTAGCAAGTGATTAATTAAGCATTAACTACTATAAGCTTAAACAATAAATTTATTTGATTTTCTAAAGAAACTTTTATATACATTTTATAAAGTACCATTTAATGGTACCGAAAGCATGCTAACTGAAAACGAGGAAAGTTGTTTCAAATTGCTGAAAAGAACTCATTCTGAGCTCATCATCTGCTACCTCTAGTAGTCCATCGTAGGAAACTTATGATTTCTTCTGGTTTTTGAGACAGACCCTGGTAGATTTCTCCAAGCAAAGTGTTTTTGTTCTATTTGGAATTGGATTATTGTATCACAGATCTTCTTGCTCAAAGACGTGGTATAATTCTCCCAGCAACTTGAAAATCTTGCATATTGCTAAAAAAAAAAACTGTCCAAAAAACTGCGGAGAATGCAACAATTCACCATGTTAAGTATCGGGGAGGTTTAATAAGAAACTACTATCATAAAAGTAAAATTGAAATTTTGAACGAGACAACTGTGGAGAATGCAGCAATCCATCAGATAACAAAGACCACAGAACAAGTCAACAGACAAGATACCGACGCAGGAGATCGCAAATTTGTATATAATAATAATAAACCAAAATTCAGGTAGTTTGAAATGTGTCATCCCCCTCCCTCCGATGGAGAGAAGACAACAATGGAATAATAATCGTATACAGCAGCAAAGCAACCCCAAGAACATCGGCACAGCTCCAATACTGTGTACCGCATGAACAATTTGATTAATCAGCTGGTCCTGAGTCCTGACAAGCAAGCCGACCAGATAAAAATTAACAGGAGACTAATAATATTACATTGTCAACCTTCATCCAGCCTCTAAAACATCCTAAACTGGCTGAGAATGCGGAATGCTCAACTAGTCAGAAGACGCATTACAAGACGCCCAGCGCTTTTGTTCTTGCGCCGTATCCAGGACATGCGGACACTTTGGGTTTACCAAGCAAGCAGAGGAGCATACAATTCCTAATCGCCCAGCCTTTCTACATTACACGCCAGCCCTCCCTACGCTCTCGATTCCAAGGCAAGCATGATCTTCTTCCGGGGACCCTGAAAGAACACCCACCTTAAGTTTCCATCTTAAATCAAATTTACACTTGCGCATAAGAAAGAATGCAGGCTTGCTGATGTTCAACTTTACTTACATTAGTTTGGTGCCACCTATATCCTGAAACAAAATATACATGCATATGCAGTACTACAGTCAAAGGTTATAGTCCAGTTCCTCAGCAAAAATGATACCAGTACATGTATTCTAATTTATATGGAGTGAAGTGAACTAGTTCATAGCTGATTCCACATACGATTATACAAAAATGGAGTGAAGTGAACTAGTTCATAGTTGATTCCACATACGATTATACAAAAAGTTAGCTTAAGACCTGGGGTGATGGGTGATTACAACTATTCTTAAATGGCTAAATGAGAGATGAAGCAAGGACCCCCAAAACTTATCTAACTGACGAGCGAATTAATAATCAGAAAACAGAATAAAGATCTCAGGCGCAATGCATGTACCATCGGAATGCCCAAAGCTTTAAGATCACTGTCAGTCATGTGTCTTAGGGCTGCCATGTCAACCTGCAACACAAACAACTATTAACCAAATAAATATCAAAGAGGGCATCAAAATGATTTACACATTCACGGAAATAATCAAACCTCTTCTGCCTGGAAGGTAATCGAGTACTTCTCAAGTCCAAGAGATTTCAGGAAAATATCAAGTGGACTGTCAGCCTATAAAGAATTCCCAACAAAAAAAAAATGATGTTGGATCTGAACCATACCAAGAAAGTTTAGTTAAGAAAATAAGCAAAGTCACTGCAGCTGCGATTAGTTAATTCTATACTTTGCACAACATGTGAAGGATCTAGTCAACAGGATACAACATTCATAGCTGGTTAACTAGGCATAAATTTGGCACAAAATAGTTCAGATACCCTCATAAAAACTCTCATGCTGAAACCTACCGATGCCCTTTAACAGATTATATGGTTCCTGTGACTCTTGCCTTCCCTCATGCAAAACAAACTGTGAAGCATGCTTATCAGCTATGACTTCCTTGAAATTTTATAGGCAAAATTGGTTATATAGCATCAAAAGTTCACGTTTTTGGTTTTATAGCACCGAAAGATACCGGTTCACTTTAATAGCACCCAAAGTTTACCCCGTTCCCATTTTTAACACTTCCGTCAATTCTCGATCGTTTTCCATTCGCCTTGATCGCTATTGACCCAGCCACGCACGCGATACAAGTAGAGTCCATGGCAATGAGGGGTAGAAACATCATATCGCGTATGTGGCTGGGTCAATAGCAATCAAGGCGGACGGAAAACGATCGAGAATTGACGAAAGTGTTAAAAATGGAAACGGGGTGAACTTTGGGTGCTATTAAAATGAACCGGTATCTTTCGGTGCTATAAAACCAAAAACGTTAACTTTCGATGCTATATAACCAATTTTGCCTTCTCCCAATTACCAAACCAACTCAAGTTTCCAACTATAGAAGTACCTATGATTAAATAGCAGTGACTAGTAAGCCAGTGGCTAGTGGGCTCGGCCAGAATTCTATGCACATCATTTTATATACAGGATCAGAAGTCAGAAATGTATAATGAATGGCAATGGCGCTCTTAAAACAGAAAATAGAAGGCATTCCAAATTGAAGGGGCAATTTAAATGACAATGAAATGAACAGATCCCAAAATTCCTCGATAAAAGATTAAAATTCAACACCTATTTACACAACAAGATCATGACAGGACCTGGAGTTACTCTTATCTCCAAAGAGCACAACATAGTGAAACAAACATCAGCACAAGAAATCCAAAAGTGTTAGAAAATTCACTATTTGCCATAAAAGATTAACCCAATCAACAGAACCATGCTTTCAATAAAACCAGGGATAACATTTCTAAAAAAAAAAAATGCTAACCAAAATTGTTTACTTGCCATGTGAAAAACGATCTTACCCTATTTGCCATTGCCCATCAGTTCATTTTTGTCTTCCCTTAAGTCAAGGGACTATTAAACATCTTTGGAAAAAGAACTCCTTTTCTACCCTCACAAACATAGTGCTTGCCTGTGAACTCAATCTCTATCTCCTGTCCATATCTGCAGAAGATCAGTGCGTTCATAGGCAACAAGATGAACCTACGAAGGCAGCACTTCTCCACATCACTTATCAGGCTAGCAGTTTTGGCAAGTCAGCCGTTACAGCTGAATCCATCTCCTCCACCTCTGCAGAGCACTCAGAGCCAAGAGCCAGCATGAAGAATTCAGCTATCGTGGATCTGTACCCATTGTTTCTTGTGGGGGGATGGATGGAGGATAGATTAATGCTTGGTTGACCATGCTTTCTAGATTATGTGGGGATAAAAAGTCTAGGCTACAAGACATGATTAAATCAAGCATCAATTGAGTATAGTAATTCTAGAACCATGTCCCAACAATGTTGGATCTACCAGATCCCAACAAGCTTTAGGCCATGTTTGGGGGAGCTTCTGACAGCTGCAGCTTCTCCTAGAACAAGAGAAACTGCAGCTGTCAGAAGCTCCCCCAAACAGTCCAGATTTTCGCATATTCTGAGAATCTAGTTGTAGAATCCAGATAAATGACCTAGAAGCCAGAAGCTAGGAAACCCAGTTTTTCCAGATTCCCATCAACTGCTTCTCAGAATCTTAAGCTCCCGCAAGCAGGGCCTTAATCTGCTAGGCATAGGTCCTCTAGCTAAGCTGCTAATAATTTTCTTTTTTTGGTCATGGTGGTTGGGACTTGGATGGGAGTCAAGAGTGTACTAACCGTTCAAATTATCATTGCTGCGCATGGCTCGATTGTTTTTGTTGAGTTGGCTAAATTGGCACCACCAACTCGAATGTTTTTGTTTGATAAGTTAGGCTAAATTGACACCACCAACAAGGACACCTACCCAAGTGCTTTGACAGAAGGGAAGTGCTCGCCATGCATTCAAGGAGGAGGAAACAGCTGCAGTGGAGGGATTAGCTGCCTTGCTGAAGCTAATCGAAGAAGAAAAGATTTTCGCATATCAATAATGCCGCTCCCCAGTGGTGCAGTACAGACTACAGTCAACAGCAAGATGACGAAAGTGGCAAATAAAGGAAGACAAAATGAACTAGTGGCATTCGAGGGAAGATCAATTTTCCATTGGAAAATAAGGGATTGGAGTTATATTATATGGTAAATAAGAAATTTTCTCAAAACTATTACTACAAGTTTCATTCTGGACATCAAAATAAAAGTAGTTACCAAAAAAGCAGTCTCTCAAGCTAATTGCAAACAACTGAGAATGAGATCCAACTAAATACTGGAAAACTATATACATGTGGCACCCATTACAACAAACATAACCCTTACCTTCGGCTGAGATGTCTTCTTCGATGACGTCGGTTTTGGTACTTTCTTACTTTGACGTACAGGCATTACATCTGCATTTTCACGCCTTGTGACTTTCACGATCTCTGATGATGGCTTTGCCTTTGGAGGGTCCGCATTGACTGGCTGTGGGTGCATTGTTCCAGAAAGCATCTCACGTAGATCACGTACACCAGAACCCCTTTGGCCAGCAAAGCTTTGCTGAGAGCTTTTCTTCTGAAGCTTCAATCGCAAATCCCGTGGATCAATTGATTCTTAACATAATGCACAGGCAGATAAGAATTAAATAAGAATACAAAAGGCCTGTCTTTATTTAAGGTACATCAAAAACTTCTTTCTTTTATTACTTGAAGCTGGTTCATCGTCTTCCCGGTAAAGATCATGCTTCCATTTTTCATCAGTTTGCCGTTGCCTACAGAATATAAGGATCTACGGTTTTAATAATTAGCTAGCCAAGTGAAATGGGCATACAGGAATGGTAGTGTTGTGCACAATAAAAGTTATGTGATTCAATAAAGAAAGACTAACTTCTAGATAAGCATGACAATAAAGATCATGCACCTTTTATAAACAGGATTAAACATACCATGGCTCAGTTTCAACAAATTTTGCCTACAATGATCAGTTGGAACACGATAATAGAACTGATGTAAGCATCAACACAACAAATGGTCGGACACCTTTGTTAGGGAAAAAAACTATCAAACATCAAGGGCTGACTTTCCAACATCGGGAGGCACCGCTGTCTTCTGGAAAATACCTCACTAATAACCATGGAAACCAAACGACTACTTAAAAGTTGTAGTTCCTTCTATAAGCACTACAATTTACTATAACTAGTTCAAAGTTAAGACTTTTTGCAACAAAAAAGGACAGCAGACCCGATGTGGCTTGGTTAGGACATCTCATAAGTCATAAGTAGTAACAACAGGAAAATCCTGTTGTAAGCTGTAAGCCGACACTACCGTACACACCACGTGGAATCACAAATCCTTTTTTGGTAAGAGAAAATTTTGGACTTTTAACTTCCAAACAAAGAAGCTCCAAGTGCAAACATACCAAAAGCCTATATAACTGAAATTCACGCATTACACCGACTTAATTGGTATCAATACAAACTATGCGTGGTACCGCTCGCCCGCAACAAGATCATTGTCAACACGCAATCAGGAAGTAAAAAAGGGTGGGCACGCACAGCACAATTTCAACCACAAACACGGTGATATTCAGCTCCTCTCACAACAAAGAAACGAGGACACCGAAGCTTTAAAAGCCACAATCATTCCTCGCGACAAGATCAAAACTACGCTACGCGTATTCCTAAGCTACACACAGCGCGCCAGCCACGAAGGAACAGAGCGAGGTACTTAGATGCAAAGAGCATATGCCGCGGAGGAGAGGACGGTAGGGAGGGAAGAGGAGGAGGAGACTGGAGCTGCTCCGCGCTGACCTCTTGGACGGCGGGTTACGGGCCCCCCGGCCGCCGGCGCCGGCGCCAGCGCGGGCGGCGGGCTGGTCGCCGTCGATGCGGTCGTGGATGGAGCGCTTCCGGCCGGTGGAGATCTGGTCCGCGTACATCTCCTCGCCCGACGCCTACTAGCAGCTACCTCTCGCTCTCGCTGCCTCTCCGCGAGCTCGGGGATGGTGGTGGTGGTGGTGGGTCTAGGGTTTCGGGGGGGTGATGCGAATGCGACGCGGAGGGAGAAGAAGGAGAAGAATATGGATTTTTATGATGCGAGGATGGAAGAAGGGGGGAGGGGGATGTGGCCGTGCCCGTGGGACCTACCTGTCTGTGGCACAGCCATTTTCAACCGTAGCATTAAATATTTATGGGAACCCGGCCCGGCCCCGGCCTGGCTCGGCCCATCATTGTTTGGGCCGGTCTGATCACAGGTGAACGTAGCCCGAAACGTTTGCTTGGCTTTTCTGTTGAGAAGCTTCGCCTGACGCTAATTAGAGCGGGTACAATAGCGGACTATAAATTAGCTATAAATATATTTCGAGAAGATAAAATATGAGAGAGAAGAGTAACGAGCTATAAGATAAATATGTGTATGACAAGTAGGATCAGGTATTAATTGTATACTACTCGTTCCGTTTCTAAATATTTGACATCGTTGAATTTTTAGCACATCTTTAACCAGTCGTATTATTCAAAAACTTTTGTGAAATATATAAAACTATATATGTACATAAAAGTATATTTAACAATGAATCAAATGATAGGAAAATAATTAATAATTACTTGATTTTTTTTAATAAAATGAATGATCAAACATGTTTAAAAAAGTCAACGACGTCAAATATTTAGAAATGGAGGGAGTATATGTTATAGGTAACTATTGTATGAATTGGATATTAAATTGACTATAGATGATTTGGAGCTAATAGTTGACTATACTATTAAACTTGCTCTTATAAGTCGTACCATTTATTAGTAGAAATAATAATTTATAGGTAAACTTTTTATATATGTGTTCTTAATGATTTAAAAACCAATCCTTAAAATAAAATTTTATGAAAAATAGTTTTAAAATTTAAATTTTAGCGCACCTTATAAGAGAATGACAGTTTCTGGCGTCGAGCTTGACAATGATGAGAAACCACTACTCGATAAAGTTTTTTATTCGTGTTCTATTCTCGTTGATCTGTCCCAAGATCGTCAACCGCTGCCTCATACGGATCCGCTCGAGCACCGACGACCCGCCTTAGCACCTTCTCCCACTACTTATAAGTTATAAGGTGCTGATGCGGGTTGTCAAAGGTGCTAAGGCGGGTTGTCGGCGCTTGAGCAGATCTGGATGAGGTGGTGGCCGACGATTTGGGACAGAGGGCGAAGAAGGCGACAAGCGGAGCATGCATGGAGGCGTCTAGATCCGTTGGTCCCCAACCACATGGAGACCGGACCTGGCGCCAAGGAGCTCGGGGCTGACGAGACGAGCAAACCACCAACAGTGGGCGAAGGAGATGACAACGTTCGTGGAGGCTAGATCCGGTGGACGGCAATCATGGGAAGAAGGCCGCGACAGCCAGGGGTCGGGAGGGAGGGTGGCGGGTGGCGATCAGGCGGGAGGGATGGGTGCGCTGGCGGAGGAAGATATAAGAGAGAGAAGATGAGGGGAGGAGAAGGGGCGAGCAGGCTAGCGGGCCCCTAGGGTGGGGGTGGGTTTTTTTTAATCACCATCAACGGTATAAGATTTGAACACGTTTAAGGTGAAGTATCCCACTCGTGACGGGTGAAAACTCAACACCCACCACGAGTAATAGGTCATATATGACGGCCCTATATGTGAGCTCGTTAGAAACGTTATGTATCGGGTCCTTATATAGATCCGTCATAGATGAGTTATTTACTGTAACAGGGCATTTTCTTGAGCCTCATCTACGCCAGGATTTACTTTAACCCATCAGAGATGATATCATCCATGATGATACATTTTGATCCGTCATAGGTAGGCATCAAAGATGGGTTGATCTGGCATAGTGCAAGCAATTAAAAAAAAATTTGAACAATAAGGCAACTTAAAAGAAATTTCTACGCTTATCATTAATATTTTCTAAACAACATAAACTGACGATTATTCGCAAGAGATAACACTTTTACCGTGGATTCATTGGATTCCATTTGTTTTTTTATTTAAGAGATACCATGGGTATTTGTTAAAAGTTATTTCATCTGTTTTAAAATAAACTAACTTAGTATATCCTAGTGCTGTAAATATGAACATATTGTTTAGATTTGTAGTAGCAACAGTGGCGGATCCAAAAAATTTTGTAAGCCTGGGCAAGTTCAACAAATATAGTATATAGTATACACAAGTCTATACAAATCCATAGATCATTTTAGAGTGAACATTTGCTTTGCTATTTTTCGCTAAGCCGTTAGTTAAGTATGTATACTGTATACTCCCTATGTATTTTAATGTATGATGCCGTTGATTTTTTGACCAACGTTTGACTATTCTTCTTATTCAATTTTTTTGTGCAAATATAAAAATATCTATGCCATGCTTAAATGATATTTGATGATAAATCAAGTCATAATAAAATAAATTATAATTATATAAATTTTTAAATAGGACGAATGATCAAACATTGGTCAAAAAGTCAATGGTGTCATATATTACAATATGGAGGGAGTATATACTGTTGCCGCTTCAATTGATAAGGTGATTAAGGAAGATGATCAACAAGGTAATTATGTTTAATCTAATGAGGTACGGTTGCATGCAGCCGGCGGAGCCCGGGCAGCTGCCCAGGGTCGCCGGGGCCCTGGCTCCGCTGCTGAGTAGCAGGATGTGTCACTTTTCGTAAGCCTTGTTTGTGGGGAGTTTAAGATTTTGAGAATCTACTCGTTAGTAGTCAGCTTCTAAAAACCATGAAAGATTTTTTTTTGTTTTTGGCTTGTAATTTATTTTCTGGACTCTACACCTACATATTCTCGTAATGACAATCTGAACTTTTTAAGGGAGCTGAGATTCTATTAGACACTGTAGCTTCTCCCTCAAATAGGATAGAATTTTTTTCGTTTTTAGATTTTTTTTTTAATATTTACAGAAATAATCTATCGGCGAGAAAAATTGCAAAAATAGACCCTGCCACCCACCATTGGGGCGGCAAGCTGACGTGGCAGACGGTGGGTCGACCGCGCCGTCTGCCGCCGTCGGCCAAAATTACGATTAGGCCCTTGCCGCCCATACAGAAGGCGGCAAGGGGCTAATTGCAATTTTGGCCGCCCCCTCAGAGCTTGCGGCCGTACTTTTTGCATCTGGGTCCCTTGCCGCCCAGGGCGGCAAGGGACCCAGATGTAAAAAGTACGGCCAAAATATTTTTCTATGTAATGTTAATAAAAAATAAAGAAGTATTTTTTGGTAAAACTTGTTAATATTGTTATAAAAATGTATTGAAGTTGGTTGTTGCGCAATTTCATATGTTAAGTGAGGTATTATTTTGTACCTTATTCGACGTATTAGTACTCGGATAATTAATATAGGCCTATCGCAGTCTCGGTCGTAGAAACATTATATGGACTTAAACAAGGAGAATTATATAACATGAAGAAATAGTAGTACAATTTGAACATGATACAACAATTTCGATTGCGGTTACATAGATGATATTAGATTCGAACTAGGAGGGAGGTAGTGCAATAGTTGAACACAACGACGATGTAGTAATGGGACAAGGAAGCATGACAGTAGAAATTTCAATATGCCAAGTTGTCCGATAATAGCTAACCCCTACGTGAGGATCCCTCTCCTCTCTCAAACCGCGCTTTAGTAACCCTGTATTGCTCTGGTAGTTCAAGCTGCACAACACGGCTAGGTGGAGTTAGAACCCTTCTGGTGTCTATTCATTCTCTGTATTGACATCTCCTTGGTGGTTCCTGGGAGGAAAGAATAGATGTAAAGCGAGCAAAGTTAGTAAATGTTGTGAGAAAATAAGGATTCATGTAATCAAAATATTCTTACCATGAAATCGTCGTCAAGAATATTTGGACAAATAAAGAACCTTCGACCCAATGTTGTAGGATTTATGGAACGAAGAACCTGACAACGATCACCACACCTGCATCTTGGACGGGCTTCCCATGGAGGGAGTGCCGTAGTTAGCACCCTCCAGTCGCTCTGTTGTTCACGACATTGTCGTTCATAAGCCGCTTTTCTCTTTAAGTATTGCTCAGTACTTTCGGATGCGAAATACCAGCGACCTTCTTGTAAACAAGTGGTTAGGTCGAGAACGGGATTTTCTGTATCGACCCACTCGATGTATGCGCAAACCGTAGTGCGGGTCTGCCAAATAGAGTAGTGTTACGAAGAATAAAGCGATTGCCCATACGGAATGAATAAGCATTTGCAGATAATAAAATACCTCACGGTCACAGTTAGGGCACCTAAAAAAGCGCCTTCCTCAAATATCAGGATTCCTCGAAGCCATTAGTTGGCATCGATCACCGCATAGGCAGAGAGGACGCTGGCACCAAGGTGGTAGTAGGTATACACAAGGATCGCTGCGCCAGTTTGGATCCTCAACACCCCGGCGTCTAGCCATTGACGAAAGCCGGTAGGATTTGTAATGAAGAAGTGGGGAAGAGAGTACTGAATGTGACTGAGTTCTGAAAGATTGTGAGGCCTCACTCGTTAAGGCGACTTATATATGCGCAAAAACTTGAGTGATATCCTTGACATGTGAACGTGGTGGGGCATGGTGGGTACGCCTGATTGGCGCCGAAAGTTGCATGCTTGATCAGCGCCGAAAGTTACGTTGGTCGTATGCGGCAAATGGCGGGCAAATACTCGTATCGCACGCGAATAAAGGAGGCTGCATCGGTGTGGGAGAAAGTAGTCGTGCATGCGCCGAAAGGTATCGTGCATGCGCCGAAAGATATCGTGCACATATAACAACAACGTAGTCATTACACAAGCATACAGTACTGGAAAGTGAAGCAAATAAACAAAGAGAAGACTGCTCTACTGGCCCTGCCCCGCGCCGCGACCACGCTTGGTCCTCCGGGCCTGTGCTCGCACGTGGTCCTGGGAGTAGGTGAAACGATCCGGTGGCACAGCACGGGTAGCACGAGTGTCTGGCGGAGGAGTGGCCTGCGCCTGGTCCTGCGTCTGCACCGGCGGTGCGCCTCCCAGCTGTGAGGGGCCGATGACGTCCTCTGCCGAGCCTGAAGCGAAGTCGAAGTCAGTGATGTCGAAGAGCACGGTGGAAGACAGCAAGCGGTCCGACGAGGTCCCAGCATGGTCCAGTGGTGGACCCTGACTCGACGTGCCGGCTGCCTGTGAGGAAGCCCCGGTGTACTGCTGGAATTGCGCTGAGTGCGAGGTCGACGCAGCTGGCTGAGACGCTGACCCTGCAGCGTGGGAGAAGTAGGCGGCCTGCGTACTTAACAAAGCTAGAAGATCGATGCAACGTACCTGACGACGGCACCACAGAGTACCCATCGTAGGGTAGTCGACCTCTGGTCGCTCCTCGTACAGTGACTCCTCGTACGCGTGCTGGTCCACCTCCGGGCGGCCGATCGCAATCCTCTCAGCTGCCCAGATAGAAAGAAAGAGAGGGCACCCACCAAAGGTCGCGCTGGGATCCGTCTTCGTGCAAGCCTCACAAAGTCCACGGTACAGAGCCGCCAACAACGCGGAACCCCAGCTCCACTGAGGCACCTCGCCTACCGCGGCGTCGGCGATGCTCCTGGCGTAGTGCACGAGTCCCTTGTCGACCGCGTGCCCCTGACCGCCACAGAACATCACCTAGCCAAAAAGCCAGAGCAAGTACGCCTCCAAACAGCGGCTGTAGGAGTACTCGTCGGCCTCCGCCTGTAGCTGATCGACCTGCAAGCGTTAGTTAAAATGTTAGGAACCTTAACATGTGGAATAAATATGTAGTACGCTTGTCATTTCGGTACAAAAACACTCACGGTGAACTGAAGCAGCCACCTCTTCGTAGGTCCGGTGTTGCGGTGGTGTGCCAACGGCTGGAGCGGGAGGTGCGGTGCGCGCTGTACTAGTGCGAAACGTGCCATCAGATCGTCCTGCCAGTCCGCAGCCGTGGTCACTGGCCCAACAGCGTCTCCCGCGAGCGGTAGCCCCAACAAGTACGATACGTCCTGTAGGGTAGGGGCTACCTCACCGCACGGCAAGTGAAAAGTGTGTGTCTCAGGCCTCCATCGGTCAACCAAAGCTGCTAGGAGGGACCTGTCCATAGTCCATCGTCTGGCCGGGTCCACGTGGCCGGCGGCAGCCTCCACCAGCCGACACATCGGTAGGAGGCCGGCCTCACGCAGCCTGCAATAAGAAATTAATATGTCATTACAAAAAAGATTACAGCGCAACTAATTTATAGTAATATACTGTTCGTACCTCTCGACGAAGGAGTCGTGAACCGTGAGTAGCTCACCTCATGTCTGTGCCCGGAACGTCCCAAGCTGAGCCCCCTGCACCGCAGTAAGGTGAGACCGGTGTCGGAGATCTATCGCCGGATCCAACAGTTGAGGTGTATCCTGACGTGCCATCTCTGAAAAATATAGTGTTTCGTGTTAGAACAATTCAAAAAGTAGTAATGTAAAACAAAAGATGACTCGCAAATTAATGAAATAGTAAAAAAATCATGAGAATAATTACGTACAACAAGAGTACAGCCTATTTAAATAAAGCAAACGTTACTAATGGTACATAACGATGACGTGCAACTACACCACGTAGCCAGACGTGGCACGACGACGCCTAGGACGTGGTCGAGTGGAGGTAGTGCCTTCACCCATAGGGCGAGCTCCATCTGCTGCTGATCCTGATAGTCCTGCCTCCGCCGCACTTGGTTTCTCCTTGTCTTTAGGACAATGCTTGTAGGTGTGCCCACGTTCATCGCATTTGCTGCAACGCTTCACCCTGCCAGCCTCCGACTCGTCCATATTGTTGCGGATGCGACGAGTCCTCCTCCTTCCAGCCTTGCCTCGGAGCTTTGATGGGTCAGGAATATTGAGTACTTCATCGTTAGTCTCTATAAACTCCCCAGCTATGCCGAACCCGTAAATCTCGCCGCTCCATGTATGATATATTGCTTGCTTACTAAAGTACTGCGACACATATACTGCATCTGGTATGCCACACTCCGCTGCGGCAGCAATGACATGGGTGCATGGCCTGTGGAGCAGCTTCGGCTTTGAACAAGAGCAATGATATATGCTGTCGGCTTTGAGAACACACTCCTGCTTCACTCTCTTGCGGTAGATACCCCTGCCTGCCTTATCTTGACATAGTATCTCGAACCTATGTTGTTGGGTACCTTGCACTAGAGCTCGATGTTTCATGGCCTTTTTACGCAACTCCTCTAGCTTTTTCTGCATGAAAGTTCCAAACAAAATGCTGTTGTTCGGCATAGAGGGAAGAACTGCCTGGAACCGATCCCTAAAATACCTGCATGTCCCATGTAAAATGAACTCCACTATGCCAACTAGTGGCAGTCCACGGACACCGCGCATCACCCAGTTGTAAACTTCTGCCAAATTTGTTGTCATTATTCCATATCTAGCACCACCGGTGTCATACACCTTGGCCCATTTCTCTTTTGGTTCATGCAGAATCCACTGAGAAAATTTTCGAATCTCCAATCCAGTTCTTCAACCAAAGTTGGACTATCCGTTGGGAGAGGTCCAAGAGCTTGAGAAGGGTCATCAACGGCAGTCGATGGAGCCGCTGCACGCTGATCACTGCATTTGGCTGTCAACTCATCTAATCTCTTCCAAAGCTCATTGAATTTTTTCTCCTGGTTCTGATTGCACAGCCTCTGGAACATGTTCATGAGCTCCTTGTTATTGAATTGCTTGAAGAAATTAGCTCCCATATGACGCATGCACCACCTACTCTGTACATCGTCCCAAACACCAAGGTATCCTCGTTCCATGCTCCCAAACTGCAACTCTTCTATCGCTCGCAGAATGTCAGCGTGCCTATCATGTATCAGGCACACATTTGGCCTCATACTAACAACTTTTGTTTTAACCAATTTCAGGAACCAGTACCAGCTGTAGGTATTCTCACTCTCAACAAAAGCAAATGCCAAGGGCAATACCTGATTGTTCCCATCTACCCCTATTGCTGTCAGTATCTGGCCCCGATACTTTCCTGTCAAGAATGTCCCATCAATGCAAGAGAACTGGACGACAGTTCACGAATGCCATCTTGCATACATGTAGAGCTAAGAACGCCCTTTGCAGCACACTCTTGCCAGGATGTTCAATTGATGGGGATTTCTTTCATTTCGTAAGAGCTCCCAGGGTTTCTTTCCCTCGATAACACCAAGCAGACGTGGCAAATTGTCATACGAGGCTTCGTATGTTCCAAATCTCATCTCTATTATTTTCTGTTTGGCCCTCCAGGCCTTGGCATAGCTAATAGTATACTTGTATGTCTCCTCGATGTGTCGGATTATTGACCTTGGTTCGTATGTGAGATTATCGATGACATGCGCATACATCTCAGATGCGACAAATGCACATGTAATGTTCCTGTGGTATTTCTGAACAACAGGTAGAAAACATGTATGCTTGGTAATGACTGACATTGTCCAATAATCCTTCCATTTCCCCTTATACGCGTGCACTCTCCAGGGACAACCATCTTTTTCCTTAACACACCGAACTTCATATTGCGACCGGTTGGACTTGGCAACCCAAAACTCTCTATGAAGTGACACTGCAAAATGTTTTACCGCCTCCTTCATATCTTCTGTTCTACTATAAATCGCTCCGTGAATAACCTCATTTTCTTTGTACTCCCATCTCACACTATCCTCTTCAGAGACGATCAGCCCAGAAAAATCCTGACTAGCCTATTCTGGTGGATTAATATCCGTCTCCTCATCTGAGGAATCACCTTCCTCTACACGCTCGTGTCAGAATCCTCCCTCTCCATTTCATCCACAATGGCTGCGACAGTCTCCTCCTCGTCGGCCACTCCACCTGGTTGAATGCCCACTGGAGCTACTACGCCCCCGTCCACTCCTGCGTTGACCTCCTCCACAGAAGTTCATTTACTTCAGCGCTTGGTCGCTCGCCATCATCCATGTTCATCTGCACACCTGGATCCTTCGGGTGCACAAACAGAACCAAAGCTAGAGGCCACCCACGTTGCATTGCATTTTCCACATACCATCTCCACACTTGAGAGTTTTGAACTGGCATTAGTTCCCAATAAAAACTCTC